GACAATTGAGGTTACCTTCGCACTCGTAGTTGAATTTCGACGATCAACCGGACGCTCTCTGTAGGAGGAAGTGGTTGTCAAATACAGCCGTGAACGAACCGGATTACTATGTCACTACGTCCATCGTTTTAATAGTACCCCTTGGCACTCAATTACTGCCAATCCTTCCCTTAGTAGATCCATAAAGATAGATTTGGCAAAACAAAGGAATTTTGATGAAACATGAGTTGGAATGTGATTTCAAGCGAATTCTTAGAGCGACTTTTGATATCGCAAGAAAGGTAAGAAGAAAGACAAACTCCAACAGAGTAGATGATAGTAAAGCGGACAAACCGATTTTTGGACATTCGTCCCCAAACGGTGTATGAGCAGGCCCATAGGTGCTGAGCCACCCTCAAACTGCACAATCGCGCACAAGTGCCCTTGTGTAACGTAAGAAGAACACCGCGCTGCGTTGCTATCTCCTTGTCATCTGAATGTGACATCCTCTACACTGCTTTTGTCTCTGTATCCTAATTGAGGTGTAGGTGCCGGGAAATTCAGCTAGATGCCTTGTGTACAAAGTTCGGATTGGGCACCAGTACCAAACAATCCTTCAAGACTTCGTGATAAAGTCAAGTACTAGGTATCATCACTATCCTCCAGTTTCATAAGTAAAAGATGGGTTTTGAATTGTGTTTGGCGGCAGCACTGGCATAGCATCCGTCGAAGGTGGACAAAACGTGCCTCCTGCCTACAATAATATGAAATAATCGTTGAGATTCGTATTGTCTGGTCGTTTACCTAAGCAGTCGGCATAATTGGTGTTTTCTTTTACATGGTCGGCAGCACTTATTCAAAACCATGTGAATTTTCCGCATTATCGCTTGTAAAAATAATGAAAAATTAGGAGAAATACCCAAGTCGAATGATTCATGCATATGCTGGACCGGGAGGAGTTGAACACCCTCGATATTGGTGTTGTCGTGGGCAGACGAATCCCCTAGCGTGAAGTTTCAGACGGAACGCATGTCCAGTTAGTTTTCTAATTCCGAAAGTGTGTGTTTTTTCAAACGACGGTCAAATCACATGTGTGTGTGTGTTTGGTTAGTACAACTACAGTGCACATAATCATGTTTTTTGGTTCGGTGCGAACAGTTGCGTATATAGCTCAGCTCATAAAGCAATCTTTTTATTGCCAAATTTTTTGACAAAATATCTCCAACATCTCGCACAAATGTACTATGGTACTTGGAGTCAGCGATGGATCTCATTCCAGACCTAAATAATACATGTTTTGCTATCCATGACACAATAGAATTCCCCACCTCTTGCATGCTCTGAATGGTAAAGTATTGTAACTAGGCGGCAAGTTAAGGAAATCCCAGCAATGTAAAGACATACAATGCAAAAAATTTCCCAATTTTACTAGACATGCTTAATGTACCTTAAAGGCCTTCTGTATTATTTAAAGATGGTCAGCTGTCACCTTTAATGGTCGCCACACCTTAGAGTCAATGATTGCTTTGTTTATTACAATATGAAATTCTCAATGGTTGGGATAGGTGAGTTAAAAGTGGAGACGGTTCCATGCTCTATAGCCTGCATGTGACCAAGACAAACTTAGTAATGCGTATAAAACACTCCACCATTGACAAAACGTAGCCTCTCCAAGTGCGAAAGTTCCGGTGCATTTATTGCGTCGGCAGTGCGTGTCACACAGACAGGAGCGCGTCGTCTCGGGGGTTCAGATCACGCCGACTTCAGTGTTCGAAAGCGCCATATAAATAGGCTCTGCCTTCACGCCGATCTGATGGACATGCATCCCGATAGGGGATGGGAGTGCGGCCTTGTGCAATCTAAACAATGCCTGGTAAATGGACGTCATACCTTTCCAAACAGGCAATTCCTCGGTATATGAGATTATTCAGCTCCATCAAAGAGAAAGTAAGGGCAGCCACCAATTTTCTTTCAAAATTGACAAAACGGCAGATAAAAGTGCAGCAGTGTTTCAATAATCACTCCTCAATGAATAAAGAATAAGCAGTAAAGGTAAGCGCTTTCGAGTTTTTGCAGTTGTCATGTCTTTATACCGAAAAAAACGAAAGCTGCTTGAAGTAAAGTGCTGTATAGCCAATCATAGAACTACGCCAGTAATATTGTTTATGGTCCATACGAGACTACGGACCACACCTTTTTCTTCCTGTTGAAGCCTTAAGTCAGTAGATCCGCTAATTTTGTCGTCTTGGAATGTTACGACTATTCCAAGGAGGCCAAACTGTTTAGTTCCAGGAAAAGGTCAACGCTCACTTTAGGCTTTAGAGGAGAGGGTGGAGAGACAGTGGTGGAGGTGAATTTTAACTGGGAGGCGAAGATGTGACTGAGAACACAGTTTTGACATTTGTTACACGACAAATCTGTCAGAGTGTGCACTGTTTGGCGAAACACCTCCTGACTACCTGCCATCGGGCACGACGATAACAGACACGGTAGCAGCAGCACCAGCAGCGGCAGCAGCGCTACAGCTTCCAATGCCGCTGCACGGTACTTGCACCAGCAACCCTTAGCCTGTGCAAACATTCCCAATACTGGATAAAATAACCTGTTTTGGGGCAGAACGGATTTTGTGAAAGAGGTGGGCACATTCCTTTACTCCGAAAAAATTTAAACTTTTATATTTGAGGGAGGAACCGGATTGCAATGACAGGATGCAATCATTTAACACTTTTGTTCGGGTGTTCAGTCATTTTACACAAAAGTGTCACAGAGTTGTGCATTAAAATTAGCATTTGCGTGCACCTTTTCTATTTTTAAATGCATGCTAACATCCAAACCAGCGACCATCAACTTTGACTACTAAATGTCGTACCGGTGTCCCTGCCATACTATGAAATGGAGAAAGTTTGTGCTCACGTATTTAAGGAAAAACAAGACATTTGCATGTTGACTTGTCGTACGCCTGCATTGTGTTTTAATTAAAGGTTGAAGTAGATGTCGAAGTCGACCAACTGATGCAATTCTGTTTGAAAAGAATTCTTTAAATTACCAAAATTACTGGCTGAATGCTACTTATCACCTCGACCGGATAGACAAACGAAAATGTAGCGTAGAATTGCGTTTGCTTTAATCTACCTTCTCGACTGGTGAAAGTGCCTGTACACTTGGAATAGATGGGAATTTCAATCGAAAAGAGCCCTTCGGTTTCATCGCATTTTAGGTTTCGGGTTACAAACCGATTCACTCGACATAAATGTTGACAGTGGCTCCGGTCGCAACGCTCTCCTTAGTCCTACGACCACTTGAAGGCACCGTGATTTAAGGTCGCACGAAATCCAAATTGTACGGAATCGCTTCAAGGCGTCTTCCCTCCTCCACAGCGTAATGGTGATTAAATAGGCAGGAGATGATTAGGTCATGAAATTTGACGTCTCCTGCAAGTCAATTGTCAAGTGCAAGACAGTACTTGCTAGATGATGAGGCGATCGCTGTAGCGTTTCAGTGTTTATGAGTGTCACGAGGGTTGGGCACCTATCGACTTGACACCTTTTACCACCTCTTCTTAAAGTGCCAATGTGGAATTCCTGATTGCATCGTTTCATAAGCACTGCAACCCAAATCTTCATACTTAAGGAGGTTTGGTGTGTCGCGTGTTCAGTGACGTAAAGTTTGACTTTTTTATGATAATGATTTGCATTTTGGATCGGTGTAGATAAGTAAAGTGTGTGAGATGGCATTCCTTACTCTTAGGCCTTTCTTCATCCTCCTATACCTCCATTTGGGGAATTAAAGCATCATTGAATGATGTGCCTATTTTGCGTGAAGTTAAAACTGCCCCCAACTGGGCAATCATGTTAATCCCAAAAAATCAGTAAAATTTTGGGCTTCCGCTTTCATTATGTCTAAGATTCTAGTAAGTTAACCTCCTCCCCCCCCCTCCTTAAAGACTATTGAGGGAGAGATTTGGAATTTATCTGTATGACTTTTAAAAAGTACTTAGTACATATTTATGGCAGTCGTTTGAATCCGCAGCCTCTCAATGTCTGTCGGTGCATTGCACTGAATGCCTTTCCACACTAGAACTTGTGGGCAGTTTAACTGTCTCCACCCGCAAGCATGCTGTGTATTTTTGGGTTTCATTAGTTTCTGAACAAGCCATGTCTGACAGTTGTGGAGTGAAAAACATGGTGCAATTAGCTAAAAATTTGCATTTTGTGTTTCCTTTCATGCCGTTTAAAGGCAAACAATGATAATGGAAATGCCTTTGATGGCCTTCAGAGTGGAGCATAACTTTTCATTCTTTGAGGGGGAATGCTGACTTGTTGACTTCCGTTTTCATCCCGTCAACTACCTTCGTGGACAAACTTTTCCGTACTTAAATGACGGTCCTGGTGGGCGTTTGAATAAAGGGTTGTTGAGGTAAACGAAAGCAAAGTGAACAACGCTTGATGACAATTTTTAATTTGAAAAATATTTGAAGAAAAGGGCTTTCCTTTGCTAATTGTGGTCTTAAAATTCATGAAATATGCAATTCTTATAGCACAAATCTTTAGTGATTTGAGGTTAACTAACGACTTGAAACTTTTGCTATGAATCAAAACTTAAGCATAAAAAGTGTTGAAGGAACAAAATATTTTTGCATGCCTCACTGAGTCTTTTTTAAGTTCTAGGCCAACCATAATGCCTACGAAGGTCGGATTGCCTAGTGGAGATGCAGTGGCAAAAGCATCTAAGTGATCTCTAAATCAAAAATTAGAGATAACCAAACGGTCAAAGCATTACATTCTCATCGAGTTCTCCTACTTTACCACTTTACCTGTCAACAAATCTCCATAGCTCCCTTATTGTTTCCTCTTGTTTCTGTTAATAGGCAGTGCTTTGTATTGAATAGAACACGCGCTTGGTGCAAAGCCATTATTTGAGAAACTGCTCCTATGCACCAAGAACATTAGAGTCGAGAAAAAAGATTAGCATGAATCAGTGCAAAGCGGGTTTCACATGAGCTCTCCTAGTTGTTTTGTAGCCTTGGAACGATCTATATTAAGATGAGTCTTGGTGGTGGACATTGCATTGCCAATGTGGGGATTGGGTTCCTCGTGACTATGCATAAACAGTCAATGACCATTTTCTTTCGCCTAGATATTCCAATCTACTTCTACGCACCACCTTTCTCCCTTGACTTCAACATGAACAGCACAGTGTGTGTAGGGCAGAATTTTGAATTCCAATGCCGCGCAGAGCCTATCAACTACGGCATCAACTTGACCCTTTACCGACTCGATCCTCTCTTCACACTTTCCAGTCTTGAGGCAGCCAATAACTATGGTACGGGCATCGACTTCAGAAATACCAGCACCCAAGCTATTCAGGTCTGTCCAATCACACACCTTCAACAACTTCACCTAAAACTGGTTTAATTTTCATACTGTGGCATGAGCTAAGGATGAGTCTTAGCAAGGTCACTTTTCACTTACAGAGTTGGAGGATAAGCATAAAGTATGAAGGTGGAATGATGATTGTGATTAGAATAGTGGGTTATGGTTCGACGTTCCAAAACGCAATGTTTTCGTAGACCGTGGCCTGAAACAAATAGACCATCTTTTAGCAAGAAAGCACTCTCAGTCATCTTTTTCACTCCCTTTTGGTCGCCGTTTACCACGGCGCTTTCTGCTGCTTTGTGATGTGGATTTTGATTTCCATGGCTGATGGTCAAATTTTCTTCCCCAACGTCGTAATTCTCAAAATTGGACAACTTACGATTTCTGAGACAAAATTAAAAACAATTGATGTGCTTTAGGGGCACTTTAGGCTGAACGAGGGTTTTTGAGAAGGCATTTTCCAGTTCAGAACGCAGTCTCTTATCTGTCATCCTCAATGTCACAACTACTTGATTAATGCTATGGCCAAAACGCAATAAATCCGCGTTTACCTCTACTTCCTCTGCTCAGGGCCCCTTGAATACGTACTAAAATTATCTCTCGCGTTCCCTTTACCATTATCACAAAGGAAGCGTCACACTTTGTCATTGCTTGAGTGTCCATTGTGATCCATTTCGTATGTAGTTGAATACCGCTCTAAACACCACAAAATGTGTGCTATGTGTGAAGTTTTGTTGCAAAGCTTGCAAAAATATTAGGTTCCAATCTTAATGGAATTTTTCTCAACGTAAAGAAAGGCTACAGGGGCAAATCTTATCTGTGTAGATTGACTGTTCTATCCCACCTATGCCATAGGAGGCAACAAAAATCGGTTTACAAAATTATGCTGCTTAAGTAAATCCGCCTATTCTACCTCTGTTAACAAGCTGATTTGAGTCAACTGCGTATAATGCAAACAGAAGTGTGGACACAGACTTACAAGTATTGTGGTTAATTGAGGATGCTTGTCAGTGTTCGGAGCCTCCGGGAGCACGGAGATACCCACTTCACAGAAATATAGTCGTGGTCCTAATGACTTGAAGAGAAGGAAGGTTACAGCTGCACCTCACCAGGATCACCGTGCGCACCCAAGTGTCCGTGTGGACATAGCAGCCGGGGTCAAGGGATGGGACGGGCGCTCGAAGGAACATTCTCCTTAGTTGAGAGCTCTCAGTTTACAAAAAAACAAATTAAATAATTACACGAGCGGCTGGTCAAAGACAAAGTGCGTACATCCACTTTCTTTTGGGTGGTCTAAAAGGCATGTGATCAAAAATGCATTTGCAACTTTGTTATGCCTTTTCAGATTCCATTTCACTACCCCAGACGATAATTTAATGTCTACGATTCAGACTGAAAGCCTTTTTAAGGTCTCCCATCAAGCTTCAAGGACGAACGATGCTGTTTTAAGCCTCCAAATCCATAGCTTCTATTGAACCTAAAATAACCCATTAAAGTGTTATGAGCATCTGTAATAATGCATATCTACTGCTATCGGTCAAGTTGCGAAAAAGCATGCAAAGTACCCACCAAATTCGGCTCTCTCAACCTGACAATTTTATTCCAATAATACCTTTTGCAAAGGAGTTTTGAAATGGATGAATTTGGGATCCTTGTGAAAATTACTCTTTTCACTGCACCTTTTTGACATTTGTGGATTTGAAGAATGGAGTGAGGACATGGAAATGATGCGCTCTTGTTGTAGACATCCTCAGGAAGAAATGTCAAGAGTCGACACCTAAAGTACAGGCTCAACTCTATCAGTGGGAACGACACTGGTGGCTACCTTTGTGTGGCCTCTGTGCCCAACATGCACGCGGCCCGATGGAGCTACATGTTCCTCCAGGTGGACGATTGTACTGGTGGGTTACACCTCTCTCCCTCTTTTTCCTGTTTCGATCAGTGCCTGTAGGGTTTCCTTTCGAACCAGCTCCTTCTTGACTAACTTTTACTCCTTGTTTACTTTATTGAGACCATTTCCAATTGCAATCACAGTCTTAATCCGTAATTTCAACTTGGCATTACAGGATTCCTGTGTGAGTGATTCCAATTTTCGAGGTCTCCTGATGAAGTGGATCTAATTTTTAAACAGAGTAAACAACTGAAAACATCGTGGATACTTCATTCATACCTAATGAAGATGGGATTTATTGACACTGTTACTATCGTTTAGTTCCCTAGCTCTATTCGTGGGAAGTCCTCCTCCTGCCAAAAAGTGTCAGATGGAACTACAAAATCACAGTTTGAATCTAAAGATGATATGAGTTGATGTGAAATTCAATGCATTTCAGTGTTCTTCTGTCGATCCAAGCCTACTACAGATGCACAAAATTCTGGAATTTGATCTAGGCGAAGATGTTGGTTTCTAGATCATGGTCAGGCAAAAAAACTGGATGCCTAAAAGAATGCTTCCTTGTCAAGCAAAAGTCTTTAGGAATTGTAAGGTGCTTAAAAAGCCTTTATTTTGCGCTTAAAAAGGGTTGTTCTTGTCGAATTCTTTTGCGAATGTTCTTCAACATTCGTCTTTTTTCTTTACTACGTCAACTGTTTCAAAGATTATTTGAACTATTAGGACAAATATTGCTTTTTGGGATTAAACAGCTCCGACGTTTCGGAGCAAAACAGAAAGTATACCTTCCGTAAGTATAAAAGGTTCAGACAAGTTGATTCATTATGGGTCATGTCATTCAAACCTGCCATTCATAATTCATCTCTTAATAGTTTTCCCTTTTTATGAGCGAAACTGATTTTCCTTCAAGAGCTGACAAACTTTTCACAAAGAGTTTAAACATTGATATCGAATCGCAAGCATTTCAAGCTTGGGACCACTATCGGTGCACTAAATTGTTGCCAGAGCTGTGACGCCTGTGCGTCTCGACTCAGCCTCACGACCGAACCTTCAATTCCAAAATCGGAGCCTAACTTTCCTGTCTCAAAAAGCGTCCATGGAATGGAGACAGTGCTTGTGTGATAAGCGACATTTTGAATAAGTTAAATCACCTGACCTAAAAAAGGGGAAAATGAGGGCGGAAATAATTTCGACTGGCCCCCATATCGCCGCGCAGTGGGAGAAAGTTTTAACTTGACTTTTGCCTGTCTCGGTCTACAAGAGGGAACATGCATGGGATGAAGAGGTAGCCATCAAGATTTCAAGAAATGTACTCTCCCATTAGACGGAAGTGTGGAGTGTTCAAGCATTGATCTCGCCTCCTCTAACAGCTGTAGGCCTTGCTAATGCGTCATAACGATGGCATGCAGACTTCAAATCATAATTAATAGTCTTAACGTCGGAGCTGACTCACGCGTACTTTTTCTATGCAAATGAATGCGTTTTTTTTGTAAATGGTTTCATTTACCGAAGGGACCATCAGCAAATGTCGGGAGAGGTAACACCTTTTCTCTTTTTGCTGTTTCATTAGGTCCCAGCGCTTCGGCATCCACAAAGCTCTTCCATGAACGTGCTTTGGAAGTGTTTACAAGTCCCTCAGCCCTCACCTTCATCTGTCTCCTACTAGCAATTCTTCTTGTGACTCTGACAGCCCTTGTAATTCTCTCCTGGCGTCGACAGCGGCTTTCACTCTTCTTATTCGGGTCCAAAAAGTGGAGCAAGACGGCAAACAAGGTGGTGAGAGAGACCAACCTACTGTATCCGTGGTCCGCACCTCCCTATCACAATTGCTCCCATCAGTTAGCTAAAGATACTACCAATGGCTCAACAGCCTCCTACGTCGGAATACGATCGAGTGGCGTGTGCTCCCGAGTCGGAAGGAATCTTCAGGTTGGTGGCACATCCTCACGAATGGCAAGATGGCATTTCAGCCTAAACTTAATGCATTAATTCAAGTCCTTGTCAGGCTCCAAATCTACTTACTTCTCCGAAAACTCATATTTAAACACCTTACCGCTAATGCCTTCCAAAAGGTGCATTTTAAGCTTGCAATTTCATATTTTTAAAAAGTTCATTTAATGTGTTGCAGATAAGAGCTATTGTGTCAAATTAGGTGAATTTGATTATCTTTGCATTTGGAATGATTTAAGTCTCGTGTATACTTCAGCGAAAATGCCTTAGAAAGCATGTATCGTTTTATTTTGATTTAACAGCTTGTTAAATTATGTAGCTTCATCCTCTCCTTAACCGTACGATGAGGACCTAAGCCTAGAAGGCTGGCCCATCTTTCCAGGTTTAGTCAGCTACTTAACATTGAAATCCACACATCCCAATGTGTCACCTAGGTACCGGCAGTGATAATTCAAGTGGATGCGTCAGTCACTGCAGGAGGTGGCGGTGGTGACGGTGTTGGAGATAGTGAGAATGGTGATGAAGCTGGTGGCAAGTCGAGTATTTACAAGATCCCCAGCGACCCTGCCTGGGAGGTGCCTCGCGACTGTGTGCGTCTCGGTCGCCAAATTGGTGCTGGTGCCTTTGGGGTAGTTTTCGCAGGCGTGATCAGCGAACCTGCTAAGGTGCTACCTGGACTGCGTCGCGGTGACCCCCTCGACCGGTCTTGTTGCAGTGCGCAGGAGCTCACTGTCGCTGTTAAAACGCTGCGCAGTAGGTGATTTTGCTCCGCTTTTGATTTTGAAACGTTTAAAAGGGATTTGAATGATCGTCCTGTGGGCATTTTTTGATTATGAGTGCTTTTCGGATACATTCTGGTCACTGGATCAAATTACCACTACTTTCCCATATCTCACTAATTAACTAGGAACCGTCTTTATTCATAACGCTCTTGTGTCCTTCTACTGTGATTATAATTGAGAAGAAACGTTGGAGAATGTCTCCGAGAAATAAGTCTCTGGGAGTGATTTCTGAAATTGCTTCTTTTAAAATAATAGGATACCATACCTTTTGAACTAAACCTAAACTTAGTCACGATAACTATTTTCGAAATTAGAAGCGCCAACCCTTATCTGCGAGTGGTTAGAACAGGAGACAGCAAGAGAGTTACAGAACACGCAATTTGTAACAATAGGAGCGTTGAGTGATTGCCTGTAAAGGCTGAAAAGAGGGCATATTTGTGTTCAGTAGTCAAACCTTTTTTAACTTGTACTACCGGATGTGACCCTAAATGGTTTGCATCGTTACTGCTATTAGGAATGGATGAGAAGGGAAGAGGGAGAATGACAGAATTGTGGTGAAAACGGTTGAACTGAGACAAAATGAACTGCATTTAATATTATAATAATCTCAAGTAATTCAGCTCTGCCTTCCCCTCAAGTCACCATGCGTTATTAACATTTTGGTTCGGTTTGAAGTTCCAATGAATAAGTGGCTCAATTGTTAACCTCACGCCTAAATGTCGGCTTGATCAACTCAGTTTCAACTTACTAGAGGCACGATTTTGCATTGAATTTGACAACTGTACCTCACGTCTCTGGAGATTACAGGCGCTGTTACTCGAATGAAGTGACAGCTGAATGACCAAATAGTAAAAATTAGCTACCTCTTGTGCAGCTGAGAACTTACAAGCCTCTCTTCGACTGATCACCAAGTCACCGCATCCCATCGCAATAGTAATGGTCGGCGGGAGTGCTTTTGATGAATGGAAATTTGGAAGAAGATCAAATCTTTCCACAACTGTCCGGTGAGGTGGGTGCCAGTACCCGCCTTCCTGGTGCAGTTGTCATTTTTGACAGGACTAGTAACTATTTATTCCTTATCCTCTTAACCCTACCATAGCCGGTCTCACTGGTTACATTTTTTGTTCACATTAAACTAGTAGTTCAGTCAGTTGGTTAATGGCTTTCTATTTGTTCATAGGTCAAACACGCGTTTGTGTCTGTGCACAGTGCAAATGTAGGTTTGGTGTTAATTCCTTAAAGTCCTTACAAACATCTTTGTGGCACATTATGACAGTACCAAATCAGGTGAAATCCCCAAGTGGGCACCTGCCACTGCATGTTAGGACCCGATGTTCGTAGCCCTAGACACAATGCCTACCTGTCTGTGCGAGGAGAGGTTTGAAGGTGTGCCTGTGCGAACGAAAGGCGAGACGTAAGGTTATGCAAATTTATGCGTACTCTTGTAGACAATTTCACTGAACAGGAATTGGCAGACCTGGTTCGTGAAATGGAAATTCTTAAACAATTTGAGCCGCACCCCCATGTCATCCAACTCTACGGTGTCTGCACACAAAACGGTGAGTCTCTTCAACCGCATGCACCACTTCCTCTTGCATGCTCCGCCCTCTTCTTAAGCATGACAACTATTTTTTTACATCCTAGTAGTCAATGCAATTTGCGTCTGTCTACCTTAAGTGGTTTTGTATTTCTACCTTTTACTAACAGCTTTAGCTTGCGGCGTCTTGTAGTCCTCATCATGCACCTTTCTCCAACTTTTAGTAGGTGCCATAGAATCTTCGTTCCTACCCTTGACTTATGCCAGGGTTTACAGTTGAAGATTCGTTAGAATATGAAATTAGTAGTTCAAATTTGAAGTCATGGAGCATACAAAAATTTGAAGCCATGCTGAGGTAGTAACAGTTTTGGACTTTGATGTGGGGAAAAAACCCTGTCATCTAATTTAATTTCTGACCTAGAGATATGGACGACCTTCCAAGTTTCATGAGTTCTGTCAAAAGAGGAGAGACAGGAATACGCGCTTGATGGTATTCACTTATCTGCAATCACCAAAATCGGGGTCGCCCATGAAACACTTAACGTTGACCTAGATGACTTATGACAGTTGTCAATGGGACAGAAATCAAACCAGCTGCACTATTTGACATGAAGTGGAGGGGTCTGTCTTAAGTATGCACATTTAGGTGCTTCGAGTGTAACTGGTCACGAGCAAGTGCTTGTCTTGATCAAACAACTTATGGCTGCGCCGTCGTACTTTGTGGATGATACTAACTGTTGGCTAACTGTTCTCACACCCAACAGAGGCAGAAGTTAGACTCTCGTAGCTGAAATCCTCGGGGTGTCTTGACAGAATAATATGTGACATTATGCGACGGAGATATGATCATTTGACTTCTTTTTTTGGACGTGTGTGAATTGAGCGCCAGGATCGTCGATGTCTTTAAGTGATGTCAGTGCTGAGTCAAACTGGGCACCCGTAGTCAAGGCCGAGATAACCAAACAGGGCAAAATGTCATGTGACATGGAAGTTTTGGTAGTTCTGGTTGCATTCTTAATACTCTGGCTAAGGTATAGCCCGGAACCGATGCCACCAACTCTCCTTACTGTTCCAAAACATTCCTTTATCTCTTTCCTTTCGTTAAGGGCAGAGATGTTACTATTGACTTTGTTTTTTTTTAAACTGAAATGCAAACGACTGCTTTTAACATTAGGGAGCTGTAAGAGTTTAATTGCACATAAAGTTCAGAAGGTCGGCAGTACAAATGTTCGATGTGGTGTTAAACTGCGAGTTGTGCCTGTCTCGGTGACTCAACATCAGTGTCCGCTTCCATGTACACACTCGCCTCCACTGTTTGATCAAGCGGAGTGCGAACGCCTTTTGAAACTTCTTTTCTCCATCACGGTGTGTAAGGTCGCACTTTTGCAAAAAGTGCTCTCCGTATGATTTACGGACTTTCAGTTTGCTTCGATGCTGGTGCACGTACACGCACACGGGGTGAAAATAACAGTGATAGAAGGCCTGCCTGGTGCTTGTGCATCCACTAATAAATGCACTCCCAATGGGGCGCCGAAAAAGAGCGAAGAAATCGGCAGCCCATACACGAATTGGAGGAGGTGGAGGAGGCGGTAAAGGAGGTATTCATTCAGGTGTCTGGCGTCAAGTGACTCAACTTAGACTTCTACGATGTCCACTTCTAGTTCGTAAATTGTGCCTGCACACCTCGCCCACATATGTCCTGCGGTCCGTGTCGTCAAATGACTCGGATATGAGCTCACAGGACTGTTACTGGTTTGACATCCACACGTTTTTTTATGTAGCTTTTCAAGTCAAGTTGAGCACTTATTTGAATAGGGCTACAGCATCAAGTCAAACTTGTTAAAGGACCGTCAAAGAAATTAGGATTGCAAAATGTGCATCCATATGCGTAAGTTATGCCTTTTTCTTTAGTTTTTAAAGAAACCTGCCTAGTTCATTCAAGTTTTATAAAAAAATTCGGTCAAGCCTTGAGCAAGCTCATGTATCGCTCTTCAGCCAACAAGTAGGCATGAGGAACCATTCAAACGCTATTTTCATATGACAAATTGGTTATCACAAACGAACCTCAGTGGTTTTCCAAATCGTGCTACAAACCAACCTTTAGTTATTGAGTGAGAAGAAGCATGAGGCCTTTCTCGTCAAAATTCGTACTCTCAGGTCATTGCTAATCGCCCATCAAGCGTAACCGTTCTTGGTGGCCTAACTTCGAGTTTCGTTTGCGTCCGAACAACAGTTGCCCACGCCAACACTAGAAACATCAATGCCACTGTCATCTTCAGCAATACAGTAGCTACAACAACAACTTCGGCATCGTTTCGTTGTGTGTGCGTACGTGTATGCAAAAAAACGGCAACTGTTATTTAGAACTTGCTTCTGCCACTGCGGGAGATATTTGAGAATTATCCTTCCTCCCAAAAATACGCCTCCAAATTCCTTTTTATGGCCAAGATTCATCCACCACTTGCTATCCTGCAATTGTAAACGCAAAATTGCCTCGGTGACAGGAAGGCGAACCGTCATTTCATTGAATCATTACATGTATTCAAGCATTTATTTGACGGTGATTCTGACGAACTTGCCGTTTGTCCTTAGTGTGGCTCTTTTAGAGCACACTGCTAGCTCAAAGAGTTAGTTACCTTGATTGAGAAACATTGTTTCCAACAAGATCTTTGGGATCCTCATCTCTCCTCACTAGGGGCACATGAATTAATGGCACTCACATCATAACAAGCTGTCACCCATTGCATGTAAGCAATCCGAAAATCTGTTTGCTCTTATACATGCTGTAAAAAAGTTTATCCCTACCAGGTTGGTGGCCAACATTTTGTCACTGAAAGTGATCGGCTTACATTGTCTCCGGCTTATGTACTCATGACTGAATATCTTAATGAAGGATGTATTGATGAGGCACAAAGCACCACGAAAGGAGACTGAACTTGTTTGAAGGATACCTTCTAGGAAAATAACAATGTGGTCTTCCACCTCAAGTGTCAGCATCGCTTTTGAATGGCTTTCAAAAAGGTCACTCAGGAGGCTGAGGTACACTCTCCACTTCATTCCAAGAAATTGTAATCAAAAGTTTATGTTCAGCCAATTCACTGAGAGTGACAGCACTATTTTTGCGCCCCAATCCACTGACATGCAGGGAAGCCGCCAGCCTTTCCCGCTTTACTCTCCACGTGTCGTTTTCATCTGACGCTTTGAATCTTCGAGAGTAAGGCCACCTTTCCCGATTGGAGGCTTTGGACTGACTCTTTCATGCTTCTCACTTCCAAAGCATACTTTTGTAGCAATGGTATCTAATTCTAACCCATCGATTGCAAAGGTCAAATGCTTCACCCTTAGGCCGCTAGGGTACATCGCAACGAAGGTTTCCGAAAGTTGGACTCTGTCCTACTTACAACAGGATGCTTATGTTTAGCAGCAGAACTTCCAAGTTGCTTTATCACTTATACTGAGACATTATCACATTCCCATTTTGTATCGCAATGATTACATTTAGTCCCGCAATATGGAACAATTACACTTGTACTGCCTCATGGAATACTCTGATTTATAATCTTGTCGAAGTGAACGTTACATTCACTTCACAATCCATGTCTGGTAGAAGAAGCCGCTACACACACCAAAGGCTCTTCCTCCCTTCATTTTTATATTGCGAGAAGTTAAAACCAACAAGAATAATTTTACCCTCTTCCTATATGTGGAGACGTCATTAACTTAGTAGGAGAAGGAAATTTTGGGAAGACGAGAAAGACGCCTTGTCCAAACGAATGTGGTACTCATACAATTCTCCGCATTGTGTGTTATCCAGAAAATCATATGTAGGGCGTATGAACACCATACCAAGATTGAGAAGTGGAAGTTGGAACTTTGTCTGTGGTTGTGAAGTGGGAGCATGACTTGAAGTCTATTTGTTCTATCCAAATCTAAGCTTAGACACTATTTGTCTTTTTTCCCATCTCTGTCTCCATTCCTTTCTTTCCTTTGTGTACATTCCCCATCCTCCCCATTTTTTCCATTTTTGTCCTAAATTCAACCGTTGACAAGTGCATTGTTTTGGCCGTCTATGGGACTTACATTTGACCAAATGAAGAGTTTGTTGGTGCGTTTCCTCATCATTGATAATGCCAAGGCTAGTTGCCAACCCACGGTTTTAGCCTTTTTTTTAAATGACTATTGTATGCGAGGTTTATGGGACCTGGCGCAAGCAAGGTTAAAACGTTCTAGACCGTTGGGTGTCCTGACACGCATATTTCTCCTCATTCATCCTTCCCCATCATAATTTTATGCCAACAATTGCACATGGTTCTTTCGTGCTCCAAATATCTAGTTTCTTTTATTTCACCTCCGAGGAAAATTGTAGCTTACACCTCCTTTTGTTGCGCTGCACCAGTTGAATGCACGTTTTTTTCCAAAGGTGCTAAATATGTAAATGCGTGTTAGGAATTTGACCTTGACATTCCATTTTATCATATCTGCAGTACTTAAACCTATTTTTGGAAGTTGAACGACATGGAAGCTATTGCTTGGTTGGTCAAGATATTAAACAGAATGTGATCGTTTCTGTGTAACTTCTGAAGGCGAGAAGGATTGGTCGATGGGAAGGGAAGGACTGCCCTCCATCCACCTCGACTGATTATTAATTAACCTGACGCTTTTAGATGCTACACACTCTCAACATCTTTACACTTGTGTCATTAAATTTTATTCTCTTGTTTACAAATGAACTTGTCATTTGTAATGTGCGACAATTGCCCAAAGCTGTAGCACAACTCACAACTGTATGCAAGTAACAGAGGCTACCACAAGCTTAACACAGCAAGCATTTATTTCAGAGTTTGAGACGAAATAAGAGACGTTTAAATGCCTTAATTTCTTTCCCTTCCCGAATAGTCGTGGTCACAAATTATCCGTCTTTACAAGAGACAAATAAGGTTACTGTGAAACTGCATCTCTCACCAAAGCCAACGTCTACAGTAGTGGCACACCGGATTCGCAGGTTAATTCTTACTTGGCGTTCACCAAACCTTCATTCCTTTCGATTAGGTTGAAACCATAATCAGTGTAAGGTCATAGCTTTGTCAGGCTCAGACTGCAAAGCTCTCGGTTGTCATATTGAGGTCAAGAAAATGTATTGAGGATGCTTTTGAATGACTTAGTGTGGGAGAGTATGCGTGTTATTCCCTGACATATGGACTGTCGCTCAGACGAATGCATCAATTTACTGGTTTTTTGGTGACCCTTTCCTAAAGGCTGACGTCCTACCACCTCTCTAACCACTAATTTGGATATGAAGTGAAAAACTTCACTTCACATGATTCACCACTCGTTTAGGCTCCTTTTTGAATTTAACTTGTTCCATCCTTCATGTACACAAAAGGATAAGCAATTATGCGTAGGAATACTGGCAACTACATTGTCGGTCCTATTTTTTGCTTTGTAGGTCGGCTGCAGATGCTGGTTGAATTGGCGCCTTACGGAAACCTTCGCGACTTTCTCATGGATCGCAGACCATGCGCCGGGCAAAAAATGATCAACCAGCCTCTCCCTCGACTCTCCACAGGTCATCTTGTCAGCTTTGGATTGCAAGTTGCACGCGGCATGGACTACCTCGCTAGACTGAATGTGAGCTCTTCAACACAGCTATTTGCGTGGGTGTTTTCTAATTGCTTTATTGTTCTCACATGAATGCATACTTTAGATTGTTCATCGTGACCTCGCCGCTCGTAACATTCTCATTGGCAACAGATTTGTGGCCAAAATAGCGGATTTCGGACTAACAAGATCTGTCTGTGATTACTACAGGAAATGTAGTGATGTAAGTTGTCTCATTGGGCCTAAATGTGACAAAGCAAAGCTTTCCGTTATCGAGAAGGGTTCCGTGGATTATTACCCATTGTAAAGATGAGTAGTGCTTCTTATCATTTTTACCACTTCCGTGTACAATAAGCACGGCCACCCAGTCATGAACCACATCAGTTTTGCCACGTCATCGTTTGAAGAGAGCTTTTTTCTCCAATAAGCTCGCAGTAAAAATAGTTTGAAACAGTTGGTCCAGTTTTTCACGTCAAGAGTCATCCTTGAACAAATACTCGTTCTACTCCTTGAATCTGTTTCGAGCCAAGTTTCTTATCGCCAACAGTTTATTTTAATTCAACTTGGGCTCTCACCAATCGTCATGATTAGTGCAAACATTCCTTCGCCTTACTGTAACTAAGATCAAGGTGGATGTGATATGGCAACAATTTTGCAGAAAATTAATCATTGCTGTGCAACCACAATCGAGTGTGTCATGCGCCAAGTCAAAAAACGACACTGCTAAATCGCAAGACAGCCCTTGTCCCTCCTCGTACGATCATATAAATTGACTCCTAACAACATCCAAGGGACGGTCACTCTATCAACATTTCATCGTAAAAATTTCAGAGGCAAAATATTGTGATTCTGCTACGTGTAGCATGCTCCACTACAATCAGGTAAGATTGCAAGACTTTACCTGTTTGTTCCAAGAGAAAGCCTATCAAGTCGATTTTAGAAGCTTCATATAAAAGCGAGTAATGAGCTGAGGAGGTAGTAAAATTAGCCACCAAGTTCGTTCACGCCTACGTTTCTGTTCATAGGCAATCACGGACATTCGCCCACAAAACGAAAACTAAACATTGGAATTTCATCTACAGGACAAAAAAGACATAATCTAGGCGGATAGCTAAAAATTATGGGTCTAATGGCACTAAAAGTATGGCCATTTCCAAGGTTATGTGAGAGAGCCGCCTACCTTGCATAAAGTTTGACTCGTGCCGTCGCGATTTAGGAGCGGTCACGGGGTATTAGTCCTTGCATTTTGCAACACTTGAGGCGTTGGTGCAGTTAGTTTATTAAGTCCAAAATTTCCGAGCTGTAAATCGATTTTATCCCCATTGTCGCTTTTTGTTCAGCTATCCCTTCCATTTCTTGGTAGCATGGTTTATAAGAAATTAATAAATTTCAAAGGGTGAAATACCGAATGTCTCCACCTTCAATTCGTAGGCTGTGATCCATGAATTGATATGTGCAATAAATCCTGAAAGGAGTCTGAAAGTGCAAAACAATAAATTTGTGCTTCGGCAAAGCATTAAGCAATTAAAATTCCTGGTTCAAAATGCAAATAAAAGGATGATTTTGTCGGGCTCTTCTGCCTCGATAATAATAATGAATGCATGTGGCCGAGTTTGCACGGTTAGTCTACTAATTTTATTATAGCGTCTACTTTTGAATTATAAGTAATATCGTGTGTGCCCTCAAATTTTTTATTTTAGGGAAGGCTACCAATTAAATGGATGGCTCCTGAATCCATATTCGACCGGCGGTATACCGCTAAAAGCGATGTGTAAGTTGTCGGCATGCAATTGTGGCCTTGTAGAACAGCCGCACTGATAAAATCGCATCTAAGTTTTACACTTTGAAATATCGTGTTATGCTTTGGTTAAAATTAGGGATTCAGACTCATTAAGAAATTATGTCTCGGTGATTAAGTTTTCATATCAAGCAAGATGTTGCTGATAGGCTATTTTCCTTGCCATTCATGTCATACTTCTTTCCTCTAAGGTGGTCTTTTGGAATTCTTCTGTGGGAAATCTTCTCCTTCGGTGGAACGCCTTACCCGACCCTTTCAGCAGAGGCACTCTTAAAGGCCCTTCAATTGGGTTTACGGAATGAGCAGCCCCTCGCCTCGCCTGCATCGGTCTACAATCTCATGCTAGCTTGTTGGTCTATCGACCCAGCAGCTAGACCGTCATTTGCTCATCTTGTGTCTTCCCTCCAGCAAGTCCACGATGACACCACCGCTGCTGCCCACGAGCATTCTCCTTCGGCCTCCATTTCTTCGGCTTCTTCATCGTCACTTTCGTCCACTTCTTCATCCTCTTCCCGATCGTCCTCCCCCACTGTCTCCACCGTTTACTTGACTTTGAACAATACCATCACTAACGTCAACACCATCAACAACAACGAGGTTTTGCACCATTACGACAACCAGAACGTCCATGGCAGCACTCTCAGTCCTCCAATCCCCCCCTCCATCTATGAAACGATTGTGGTTCGAGCACCTCTAGCAGAGCAGTGTCCATCTTCCTCCTTCTCAGGGAATTTCCAAGCTCATCAGGGGTCTCTGAGGCCGCCGGTGGGTGCGGAGAGCAGTGTGGTTGTAAATAATTGCTATGCTGAACGGGGACAGTACCTGCAGAGTATACACAAGGCGTTCTCCATGCATAGCAATTATGTTGTGGTAGGTTATTTCTATCCACGGCTTCGCACTTAAGTGTTAAAGAACTGTAAGCGACTCGCTTCTCCTGTTTCTAAATGGGTATCTAAATTCCCATTAATTTATTTGATGTAGATTCCTTTAAAATAGTTTTCCTGACGCATTTTGTCCCAAGCGGAGATTAAGTATTAAATTTAGGCTATTTAGCGATGAATATCGATAAAAATCATGGTACTCATTGATAATATGAAGATCTTTGCTGTGTAGCAAATTGCACTGTTTCCAGATAACTCAATTTCTCTTGGCCGTCTTCCACACCATAAGTATTTAATTTGACAATATGCTGTAGACTTATTTCTACGAATTTATGACCTCAAGGCGAGGTCTAATGAGTTCCTTCGCCACTTGGTAAATATTTTGCAGTGGCTGCCAGGAACAGTACATATTCACGGTTAAAGCTGACAAAGATCTAACATGTGTAGCACTCGACTCTCTCCTGTTTACAAAAGATCACGCGTTTTGATCCCCAGAAGGGTTTAGAAGCTAATATCATTGCTCAGTGGCCTAGCAGTGGCGTGACTGCACGTGTCTCATCATTGAAAATGAGAGCTCTAAGCAAGTGATTAGAGTGTTAACTGTGTACCTAAATTTTTGACAGATTATTTAGAAGTGTGGAAAAAATAGAAAAAATTCTAAGGGAATCGTGTAATATGCGTCACCTTGGCATAAGAAAAGCTACCAAAACTTAAACCTCACCCCTTAATTCGGACCTATCTATCCCAAGGCAGAATCTAAACCGAAAGCTAGATGAATTCCAGAAAAAAAACGTTTGGCTCTAACTGTGGGTGTTTTTACAATCTTTATAGCCCCCACGATCCAATGAGTAGTGACCACCCAGAACAAGCGCTGGTGCAGGGAGTCGCAGTTTCATACCTCGCATTTTGTACAGACCACTACCCGGTGTCTTCTTCACTCGTTCCTCCTGCAGTCTTTCCGATTTGCGCGATGGAAGTCGTTTCTATTCAGCCCCGTTACTATTGTCGTCATACGCCATCGCTTCGCCCTTTTTCGCGTTCAAACATCTAAACATAGCGACAGCTAACCACACACCACATGTAGTTATTTATCTCACCTCTGTGACATACATCCACTGTGAGTGCCTTATTCGTTCTTCATTTTTTCACAAAATACACTTTTTTAGTGCAATTCACTTTTGTGTATTGACCTTGCAGGCGAAGGGTATGAAACATCAATCAGTAAGGTCGAGTTTTCCTGTAAAAACGCACTCCAGCATGCTCCACTTCGTTGAAGAAGGTTCGTGCGTGAGGATTTCTCAAAAAGTTCATCTGCATATTGGCAAGGTTAATGCGATATAAAAGAAAAAATTGGGCTAAATGAGTAGGTAACTATACAGTTGTAAGTCCGAAGCAAATAGCTGTGCTCATAGAGTGTGGGAGTCTAGTCTGTAACTACAACGTATCGAGCCTTCTCTATCGGTAGCGGGGGGCATTGGGCATGGCTGCATAATCACCTTCAGACAGGAATGATGGAAGCGAAGACTGGTTCATGCGGTCAGAACAAGATGGCCGCTAAACAGAGTACTACAGTCACATTTGGGAGGATGGGGGTAGAATAACTGATAGCTGGATCTAAGCGACACATCAGCGATGTCCAACATTGCTACAACAAATTACCAAATTCAGTACCAAAGTAGGCATGCCAATCTGATACTGGAAATGAAAAAGAAGAACGAAACCTCCCACGTCTTTCAGGAACATCCTTCATGTCAACCCTACTAAAGGCATTAGGACACACGACTGACGTTTCGAGACTCTCTGAGATTGCGAAATCGCTCTTCAATGTAGTTCTCGCGTTATGCTAATGGTCCAATGTTATGCGTATTTGCTATTCTGCTTAAAGCAATTTTATTGAGGACCCTTGTCGTGCCAAATCCCAATTGAGTTCAATCCCCACAAAAAATTGTCAACAAAGTTTTACAAATGTCTACAATGTGAGGCATTAACAAAACCGAAAGGTGAGCAAACGACTAAAGCCGTCCATGCATTGAGTATGTCGAGGCAAATCTTTAGTGAATAACGAGGCAGCTAACTTGTAATGTTACTTTGAGAGCTGTGCTCGAGGGGCCCGCTGAGTAATTATTCTCTATGAATAACTGAACCTGGCCCTCCATACATTTCCTTAGTTAACGTAAAGCTTACTAATACCAAATAAGCCTGTACCAAGGAAGGTGCCTTCTTAAATTCCTAGGAGGGCGAAGTCTATGTCGAGACCAATGATATCACAATTATCATAGAAGCATATATTGCTAGGTTAGGGACATACCGATATAAAACCAGCACGACTCGGCACCATAGGGCATGGCGAACAGGCAACCTCAGCAAATACATAGGCTTGTACAATCGGAAACAGCAATTTACGATATTGCCTTGCAGTGACTTTGGCTAAAAAGGATCAACTATTATGCTACAAAGTGTCTGCAGCCACGCATTAGGGCTGTGAAAAATTTAAAAATTGATCGTAATTATTAAAAAGTTACAATTCTAGCATTTTAGGCCATGACTGTCTATAATTATATAACAAAGCGAATCACCTGTTGTTTTGAGCAGAAAAGAAGACTAGTACATACATACAAACCCCCATTACCATATTATATTAAAAATATCTATTAACCTAAACGGGGTTGGTAATTGGTTAGTCGGTTATCGTAATGATTGGGTAGTGTGTCGAGCTCGCCCGTACATTTCCGAAATATAATTACTAAGCTTCGCTGCTGGTTCAGTATGAGTTCCATTGGTACTGGAGTATGTTCCAAAAGTCCGATTTCATTCCACCTTTCAATAGTACGATTTATCTGCTTCTCAATTTTCACCTGAAGGCAAGGTTTTTCAAATTGAATATGCATACAAAGCAGTGGAAAATAGTGGGTAAATAGTTATGCTTTGTATTACTTAATAGAACTGCTGTTGCGCTTAAGGGCAAGGATGGTGTTGTATTTGCGGTCGAAAATATAGTTCTATCTAAGCTTTACGAGCCTGGGTGCGTAAAGCGAACCTTCTCAATAGACGAACATATTGGAATGGTTTGTAGTAATATCCTTCTTCACACCATTCCAGGTTGTTGCTGGTCTACAGTCAGATACGAAAGCCCTTGTTGAAATCGCAAGGGATGAATGCAAAAGTTACAGGGAGAATTTCGGGTCACCTATTCCTGTCAAGGTATTCGAACTTTGCTGACCAGCTTGCGTAGTCTCTCTGTGAGCGCATTTCAATGCACATGCACGCGTACACACTTTACAGCGCCATTCGACCCTTCGGCGTCTCTATTCTTCTCGGCTCTTATGAAAAGGATGGTGCTCACCTTTATGTTATTGAACCCTCTGGAATGTACTATGTAAGCTTGGCGGCAGCTCCTAATGTTCAAGTTCCTGGTTCTTTACTACGTAATGCATTTGGTAGATCATGCGCACGCATTCGACCCTCTGATTCTGAGATTATTCTCTCCTTAAATGCATTTAAGGCTTATGAGGGGTGTGCGATTGGAAAGGCTAGGCAGAACGCCAAAACTGAGTTGGAGCAAATTAAACTCGGAGATATGGATATTCAGCAACTCATTAAAGAGGCAGCAAAAGTGTAAGTTCTTGTACATAGCTTTGGGTCTCCTTACTGAGATTATTTTAAGCCTTACAAAAAAAATCATTTACTACCATAGAACGTGCTCACGAATCCACAATTTAATCTTTATTGAAAGTGTAAATCATTTTTCTGCGACCGCTTCCATGTACAGTTTCAGGCATACTGCTTGGTTTTATCTGATTTTTTTCCGCAGTATTTACACTGTGCACGACGAAATCAAGGACAAGAATTTCGAATTGGATCTAAGTTGGGTTGGTTCTAGTAAGTCCTATAACGTCAATCCTCACTGGCGTTCCATATACTCGTATCGTTTTGATTTATTTTTTTGGAGAGTTATGCAATACTACACATCCCTGAGAAAAAGTCATTATGATTTCGTCGTTGTTATTAACTGAGTCAACAGGTTCCCATTCCCACATCCATCTTCATAATTTGGGTTCAGTTTCGTTTTTATGGTCGAGAGTTGAGCTCGCCAACCATCTTGGCTGCTGAAATCATGACACCCCTTGTGTGAATGCAGATGATGTCTTAAATCTTTCTCGTCGGTCATTTTTTTAACCTTAGAAACCGACAACCGGCATCAAGTCGTTCCTCCTGAAGTTCATAAAGAAGCCGAAGACTATGCCAAACGTTCTCTCGAAGAATCAGGTGATCTTGACGAGGAAATTGGCATGTTATAATACATTTACGAAGTTTCTTGGCAATAAAATTCGCCTATTGTAATCTACTCTGTTTTACACCATTTTAAGCATTAGCTAGAGTATCCCAGATCCTACACATTTATTTCTGTCTCATACCCTTACGGCTCAATTTGCTACTCTTACCATAAGATGTACTTTTCAATTGCCTGATCCCACCTCGAACTTGAAGCAGAAGAGTAGGTTTAATGGCAAGAAAGCTCCATAACAAACATTTGAAAACATTCCGTGGAGCTGGTCTTTAAAAAGTTTTTTGAATGACTGGTTGTTTTGCTCTTAGAGCTTCGATGTCACTAAGTAAAAATTGATTTCATTAAATGAGTGTCTTACACTTCTGGTATGTCGAAGTCTCTTGTCTCTCGAATGCCTAGTTCGGTGAAGATAGGATTCTGCAACTGTAGAAACCCTCCATTCAAACGATTCTCCTCCGACTCTCTTTGTCTCTGACACTTAACCATCTGGGCTTCCAAATGATATTCTGCTTCCTGGTTTTGAGCGAAAATTTGCTGCAATCTTCAAGAAGAATAAACTAGACTTGTACTCGAAAGACGGTTTCGAGCCCAAAGGTCTAAATATTTAGATGTTAGTCAAAAACTTCTAAGATCAACCATGCGAAGGTACTCTAAACAAGTCTCACCTGTCATTTTTGACATTTATAGTCTCCAACTTGTTTAAAAGCAATTGCTTTCTCTCATTTAGAATTACTCTCTCCATGCGAGTTTCAGAATACTCTTTTTCAGCTGAAACAGCTCGTCAAATTCTGGTAATTGAAGCAACAAACTTGCTTTTAGCTCCTGTTCAGCAAGTGCCGCCTTGGTTTCAGTTTCCTTTAGCTGTTCTTCTAAGCGTGAACGTTCTATGAAAGAAGTACAAATTTTTTCCATCAGTCGGGCTCCAAACTATAGCTGCTGAACCGGAGTAAGCGTAGAGGTAATAATTTGGCACAACTTCTAACTCATGACAAAATGGGAATCCGCATCACGTGAATCGACGAGCCGGGTCAAAATAAATTCAAGCGCAATTGCACTCACCTTCTTTGTGGTGTTGAATTGCCTTCGTAAGAAGAGAGAAAGACAATTCCGGTGTCTCCATCTCAAAGTGCTTAAGATGTAAAAAACGTAATGTATAGTAAAGCCCACGTACACCCATTAATTGCCAGCGCTTTTCAAACGCGACGTGTTTACTTACGGTTTCAGTACAATAACATCAGTGCCATCGCTCTGCTTGGATATGCCACTTTCAGTTATAGAACCAAGTCAAGGAATTAAAGTGCAGGAAGTAGACCCTCCAACTCCCCTAACCAGCCTAATGTCGTAAGCAAAGCAGGCTGGTACGTTTGGATGAACTATATTACCGACGCGTTGCGATGTAAACTTTCGCGATGACCCCATTCAATTGGGGCCTTTATATTGAGCCATTTGGCTCTCACTTCCGCAGTCAGTAGGAATTTTCTCCGCATCAATACCACAACACTAGAATCGAATCACTCAATTTGCAATAGCAGAAAGATAATGGTGCAGGCGAAAACAGCACCAAGGATGCGATGAGCCAACTAAGGCGAGGGAATATGGGCACAGGATCAGGGGCCTGTGAAGTGGAGCAATAAACTGGAAGTCAAAGTTAATCCTTGTTTAATAATACTACGTTTTGTTGCAACTTTCGAGCAACTAAATAGAGCTAGACGCTGCCGTGCCTTGGATGCCGCGGGAAGAGACGGTTTCACGTTTGGCAATCCGTCATTAAATTCGTGATCGGTTTTTCCTAATTACGACAAGGCCCAAGTCCTGTCGAAGAGTGAAATATGCTTGAGCCCTCTTGAAATAAAGTAGCATTTACAACGCAGCCTACCCAAGCTTAAGCAATTTTATCTCCGCAGGGTTTGGGCGGTAGAACCATTGGCGCAGGGATCTTATTCAAAATAGAGGTCACTACGCATATGACCCATCGAGAAGTGGAATAAGCCAACAGATTGTGAAAAGCAAGCAAACCAGCTGCCTGTCGACCAAACCACAGCTACTTAAACATCTGTTCGTGTTCATCCTATTCATTGGTTCCGATCTATCTGAGCCATGCAGAGAAACAAAAATAATGCACAAAATGCGACAGAATTCACGACTTTTGCAGTTGCCTTCCGAAGCAGTTTTGTTGGACATCTCTATTTGGCACTTCAACTAGTCACACCAGGTAAACCAACAAACAACGTCTTAACCGTTTTAGGAATTTAACACCTTAGAAAACAGAGAAGCTGTCGGCTAACGTTGGAACTCAAAATCAACTAGAACCATAAACAAACAGAAGCAACAATTTCGATTGAAACGTTTATGAGAGAAACATCAAATATTTTTGTACAAAGTAATCGTGAAGAGGACTGTTGAAGACTCCCAATAGAGGGAGTAAGAATACGCATGACTCCCTTCAGAAGGAATCCATTCATCTGATTGAAAAGGCGACGCAGAGTGGCCGATAGCAAACACTAGCTCGTTTGCCAAAGCGATTCACAAAACACACCGCAACATGAGATAGAAAGCGCGCAGATTGGGAAATGCCATTGGGGAGGTCAAGCTGCGTTAAGGCAGATGTTAAAGCAGAAGTGATTGCAACCTTCTTCCCCACGGGGAGGACATTCTCCAGCCAAGAGAGAGGAGCCTGGGTAATAAGGGACAGTTCTTGCAGAGGAGTCGCACAAGTGACGGGCGACATTTTGCGAGAGATAGCTTCCGTTGCAAGTGTCAAATCAGCATCTGTTTCAACTGGATGCAATACAACCGCATCACCCATTAGCATTTAAATGCAGATGTCGAATCTTGACTTTGAAGCAAAGTAGTATAGTGCATGACTTGAACTTCCATCAGTACCATTTTTTATCAAGTTAAAATTTGGTTCCCGTTTATACATGTACTCAAGAGCCGGACCAGTAGTTCAAAGGGATGCAGTCCCCTTCAAATCAACCGCATGTTGAAGAATAAAGACATCAAAGAAAGGAAAAAAAGACCATTTGTACAGATCAAGGTAAATGATGAGATGCTAAGAACTTAAAACTACTAGCAGCTAGTAACCTACACAGAGGAACGTCTATCGAGAGGGAGACCATCGCAGACGTGGCCTGTGCCGTGGTCGACAGCAGCTCAGCCCACACGGCAGGCTTTTGCAAACAGGCGTTCCCGTCGCATAGCAGTGAGGTAAGTGTTGTACTCGGCGCTGCCAGCAATCTAAACGCCAGGAAAGAGCCATCAGTCAAAACCACACACCACTTAGGTAGTAACAAGAAATCTGAAGCGTATACCGGGCACAGTTTCTAGACAATTAGCAATGTTAAATAGCTATAAAGCATTTAATGCAGAAATGTGTAAAACTTGCACCTCTGGAAGTTCATTAGACACCCTTCCGTTAAATTGCACCGTCCAACATCTACCGTCTGAATATTGCTGCAGCCCTGAAAACGGAAACTTAACCGTGATGAGTTATGGCAAAAGTACCTAAGGCGATTTAATTGTATATTCTCACTGAATCAAGAAATCGTGCAAGACATGCAATAAACGCATTCCCTGACGGCCTTGAATCAATGTCCCTCGAAGTGGTCTCACAGAGCATCCAACTCTGCGCCGACAGAACGTTTTCCCCCATAAAGAGTTCTGCAGACATACATTTCTCCACTGCTGATGCTAGGCCTCCACGAAGACGCAAAACACGAAGAGATGAAAAGTTTGGTCGACCCTTTTTCTCTGGGGGTGTAAGTAAATCCAGCAGAAAGTCTTCATCTGTGGAGATCAGTCTTGACGAGAGAGGATTCAGACTCACGTCCAATTCAGTGAGGTTCGCGAACGCCGAACTGGATGGCGGACCTAAATTGTTAGAAAGTGCTGAAAAATTTAATAAGTCAAAGCCAGCGTACAATACGCAATCCACAGCGTGGAAGAAAACTCAGAGAGCTAAGCATACCGGCTGAACAGAAGCCGCAACAAGCAACTCGTAAATTCAATAATAATGATGCATCTGAAATGGCTGGTCACCCTCAATTTCAAGACTATGTAATTTCATTTAAACCAATGTGATACAAGCCAGTTAAAATTATTAATATTACGACTAACGAATTGCGATTTTGATCATACTGAAATCGCTTCGGCTTTCTGGCACGAGTAAAATAGCAACTTGAAGTGCTTTACAATTACTGATTGCAGTACGTAGGTAAATGAATAACTAGACATGGTACTTGAATTCGCCACGTGGATCTTCTCACAATGTAGAGACAACAATGCAATTACTGTTAGCGACCATCAGGAGATCACAAACAGTTCCCTCTTTTTTACTAATGAGTATATAGAGTCGCTCAGACTCTTCCCTAATGGGATGAGCTTTTCAGAACAATAACGTCAACTTTCTATGGCAGTGTTTAATGTGAAAATGGTTAACTCCAAAAGCCGAACTGAATAACATTTGGAAACAACTACGCAGCAGAATAAAGAGCTCTTAGGAGCAATGAATTTGGAAAGCTGACTTTCAGACGATTGGCAGGAGAGTATTTCAGTGTTGCCAAAACAGGACATCGTGGCTAGCTCCCACAATGCTGGAGTAACACCACATCCCACCAACTGTAGACATGTGAGGCGCGGGCAGAGGACAAGAAGCCGTGATAGCAGTGGTGCTGCGGTGATGGTAGGGACATCAGAAACCAGCACAACGCCATCAGGAGCGAGCCAGGAGGGAAGGACTGACAGAGGCACAATAGCATTGCTGGTACTTGCACCCGTGGTGGTTGCGGTATTATTCAGTTGAGAAAAGAGAGGATTGTAACTAAGACATAGCCGAGTCAGATGATTGGTAGGTGAATTAGGCCTGAAATATGAAATCTTATAACTGTAAACTTATGCTAGGTAAACTTCCTATTGCTACGAGGTGATAAAGAATACCATCAAACCGCCAATTAATGTGACTCGGTGAAAAGACCTTTCCTTCGGAACGAGTTATTTCAATACAAGCAAGCTATAAGAAAATGCTTACTCATTCAGTCCCAAGGAGAGGAGAGCCAGGACGCCTTCAAGTGTAAGGAAATTTTCCATCACTGAAAGCTCAGCCAAATGGGGTGTTAGAACTTTTTCAAAGGCTGAGAGTAAAGCAGGCTTGTCAGAGGGACACTCTGGTAAGAGATCCTTCGAAGACAGCAAGTTACCTTTCAGTAAGAGAAATTGGTTGGATTCAAGGTCAACGACAGACTACGTCAGAATTTGATTCAAATAATGCCATAGACCAGAACCTGCATTCCAAATAGGAAGAAAAGCAAAAGGTGTTCGAAAAAAATAAGTAGAAACAATTTAATGGACCAATGAAAAGCAAGCGTATGCAGCTGAAAAACAGTGCTTTAGGCAAGAAAGAGAAGAGCAACATTGTACGTTAAAAAGGGGAAAAAGGAACACGTACCATCAAGGCAGAGTTTCTTCAGCGGTTGAGACGCAGACCTCACTTCTAAGTATTGTAACAGAGCATCGACACAGCCGCGCGCCCCAAGTGCCCGGAAAGAAAGGTCTAAGCAGCCTGTATCCGCAGCAGCTACCACCGATTGATGCAGTGACGAGGAGGGAAGGTAACTCAAACTCCGCGATGGCACAGTCACAACACAAGTTGGTTCATCTGCAAAACCATAACGTTATATATATATATGGAATCTGAAAACATTCTTGCCCTGACTGGGACCGAAGTAATAAATCAAGCATACGGAATTGAAGGGTTCAACATTGAGACATTGGCATTGGCAATCTAGAAGCGTAAAACCTGATAGTAAATGCTTTAACAAAATAGTTTATAGTCCTAGAAAATCATGCTAAAATTGAACAGGAGCCAGACTTAAATATATCGTTGATTCAAGGCCTCGGAGATAAGACTAGAACTTTGAGACCAATCAAGCGTCATACTTTACGGCATTACAAGGAGTAAAGCTTCATTTAACTGCATAACGAAGTAGGAACAGCGAATGAGAAGTTAAAATGAATCTCGCCTGACAGGGAAACTCCAGAGAATACTTGACGGGATTTACTTGGTTTAAAGACCTCTGCCATCAACTCTGGGGTTGTGGAATGAGGACCAGTGGCAGCGGGAAGAACCGTACAGAGAAGATCTGTTGGCAGAAGGAGAGCACCATCAGATGTGCGAATGCGGATATGGCAAGCCTCAGACGCAGAGGCTTCCTGATCAAGGAGGAGATGGCGACGACGATAGGCTTCATCTGCGAGCCACTTTACAGTGCGAGACCTGAGAAGAAACAGTATAAGAAAAACATCAAAAGTGTGCTAAAAAGTAATTGGCTGGGAGTTCTACAATATTACGTACTTGACAGTAAAGCTGTGCGAATTGGACGATTTATATGCACTTTCATTTTGCATGAAATTTTCGCTGATTTTAACTCAAGGCAGATCCATATTACAAATATCAGCGTAAAATGTTCACCTCTGGGATGCTAAATTAACGCTTGCCTAGGTGTAAAAAGCCATTGCAATACTGAACGAAACTATCACAACAAAGTAGTTTGAACGAATCATCCTCGATTCCAACCTCGTTCTTAGTATTATCACTCAAATACATTCGATTGACTAAGAAACCACGGTCAAATTGCCGCGATATGACATTGGTGAAACCGAAAGAAACATCAGAACACATGCCCATTAACGCAACCATTAAGGGTTGACAATATAAAAGTTAACTAAATGGTTCCAAACTAGAACGTCACATCTAAAGCTCCACTTACTGCGAGTCAACTGGTAACAGAAGAGAGATGTCCGAAAACGTAACCTTCACAGTACACCAGATCACGCCTGGAACAGATTAATGGATTAAAAGACTTAAGAACCACCTCTTTGCGAATTATTTTATAAATTGATTTAGGCTGGAAATACAAACTTGTCGTCAGAGCTGGTTGAGTGGTTTCCTCTAGAAACGGTGGAGCAGGTGTTTTTGTTACCCCAGCTGGAGAGGAGGAAGAGACCACAGGTGACCATGCTTGAGTCGACGCGCAAGATTCCAACTGAGTGGAAGAAAATTCCCCGCAAAGATTGAATTCCACTAGTTCAAAAAGACAAGGAGCAGTAAACCACTATAGGTACATGAGTAGAGGAATGGAAATTAAAGCCCTACTAACCGGTGGATGAAGTTTTGTGGAGAGACGGAGATTCGTGAGAGGGCAAAGGTGAAGGAAGGTCCTTTCCTTTTTTCCGTTTCCGCTTCGTTCCTTGCTCATCCTCCTCAAGCCACCTATCATTAAAACTTGTGAAAACTGCGCCAAGGGAGGTAGTTGATCGTTTCCTACTTCCGACGCAGCCACTAGCAGTGAAACTTTCCTCGTCATGACTAAAAATGTAAGGTATGTATCCAAGTTTCAGACCTTACCTACTCCATACAGAAAGTCTATCTTTTCTGTTAATCCCTAACTGGAACGCTATTTCATTGAAAATATGCTCACGAAGATTGTCATCAACAGTACGAAGAAAATGCAAACATGGGGCTGTTAACTCTGCCATAGGAAAAGTGAAAATGTGTACGAACATAAGAAATCAGAGAACTAATGAAAAAACTAAACATGTTGTCGGTACCATTTATGTAAAAATTCTACACTGCATAACTCAAACTGGTTCGAATTCGATTTGATCACGAGTCTACTCTACGTTTTGTATCGCCATACTCAAGGTGGGATGTATCTGATGGCATCAACTTAAAATGGAACCGAAAAGTAAAACTGCCCTCCACCTTCTGCTTCACTATAAAATAGGTAGATCTAAACCAGCGAACATGTGATTCGGAAGTTGAATGACATCAGTATCTGAGTATGTTCTGAGCCATCCGACGATTACTCGCATTAAATATTCCGTGCATTGGAATTATTTACAACGCAACGCATAAGAGAAACTGAAGATAGTGACTATGTTAACGCTGGCGCAGTGATTACAACAATGTCAGCTATTTGGAGGCGATGAATCAACGTAATTAAATTTCGGCCGAAGGAGAAATTAGCCTCATTTTATGTGCACTTTCGAAAAGTCACCGCAACACTTTAGTACCAACCAAAATACCTTCGACCAATATTGAAAAGACACAAAAGACAAGTAAGTTACCGAACGGCAGAACTGCCAACCGCTTTAATGGCATTGCGATAGTCGTTAATAGCAGCCGATTTACAGTCTGGCTTGGTGAATGCTCCTTTCGGTGGAGAGTCGAAGAAACGACCACTTTGAAAAGGCTTTGATCTAATAGACCGTGATTCCATCTTCTTTCTACTCATGGTCGCCAGCACCCTGTTTTCTTCCTCATCAGAGTCTGAACTGATTACTTGACGGCGTGATACGGCTGATTTCTTCAGTTTAGTCGCTGGTGCCGATTCAGCATTCATTATCGCAATGTCATCTTCCTCGTCCTCTTCATCATCAACTATAATGACTGATTCTGATATCTGTGTAGGAATGGTTGAGGTAGATTTTGGTGGTCTGTACGAACACCACTTCTCGTAGGAATCTGAGAAAAATCAATTGCAAATAGATGGCAGATTAACCCAAACAAATTCGTCTTGAAATAAGCAGCACAACACACCTCCCAACTTCTCTTTCACAGTGTCCAATAATTGTTTAAAAAGGGTCTTTTGGGATTCCAATCCCCCAAAAGCGCGCTTCTTCGGCTGCCAATCGTTCAGCAAGTCTAAGAGCGTTTCCCCTTCACGATTTCTAGTAGGAACATCCGATAACTATACAAATACTTCACTTATAGCACAAGAAGAATACCAATGTCGCGGCAAACACCAAGGAAATACAAAAGATAAATCAAACGCGTGATATCTGAAAAACTACATGTCTACCTAGAAAAGCCTTTGAGAGGACTAAGAAATCTATACTGTTCAAAGATGAGGTAAGTATAAGAAGCCTTCCACAAAATCCGAACTGGATAGAGACTTTAATTACCAGCAAAGCCGACAAACGCAATTTGCAGAAGCCAATATGTTGAACTTAAAAAAGGAGCCAAAAACGAGATGGACGACACCTGCTTAAGGCAAAATGACTATAAAGGTGGGATGACCGCTCCAATTTTTATTTTGTACGGGTGCTAAAAGATGCTACGGTACACTGTAATCTTCAAAGAGCCCTTTGCTCTACACAAAATTTCTTATAAAAAACGGCATTTGTACAAAAGCAAATTCCGCACTGCCACAGTCCTGAATACTGGGCATGTACATGGACAACGTAAATATACGTTAATAATCGAATATGACGAATTTCCGAAATCACGTGCAGAAGTAATCGGAACATCTGATAAAAGAAAATTAAGCTACCTCGATAAATTGAAAGACATGAGATAAATCGATAAACCCAGAACATAATCATACACATGCCACAAGTTGGCCCCACGATTAACAAGGGTGATGGCTGTTTTGAGCCCGCCTCCATGAATCGCCTCAAAAAGAGGTGTTGACAGATCCTCCTGGCAACCTGTATCATCCAGATCAGCCCCTTTATCCAAGAGATAGAGAGCAATATCGGCGTGGTCATGGAAAGCAGCTTCGTGAATGGGAAGCCAGCCCGCGCCGTCGCGTATATTGATTGGATGTGCCTGAGAGAGTGTTGACTTGACTCATGCCCATTATATGCCTATGCATAAAAAGTTGCAAAATACTCACCATTACTTCGATCAACTTGGATACGTGTTCAAGGTTCCCATTAATCACAGCAACATGCAATGGAGATTCGCCTTTGAGGTTTGTCTATGTAAAACAAGAGTCGGCAGAGTACATGGTCATACTTTCAAGCAGATTGCCCTATTACGCCGTTTTCCAGGCGACTCTATTAAATCCGAAGCACCATTAGCAATATTCACACACTTTTCAACGTCTAAAAAGCGAAACACCAGTTAGTTTTAATTAAAATAAGCAAAAGTGAGTTAGGTATAGAACTTCGATGCTACCAAACAAATCAATACTATAGCACATAAGATTGGAATTCACCAGAGTCGGAAGAGAGGACTTCTATGGCTTCGTCAATTGATTCGCTTTGAGTGTCCATATCCATATCAACTCCAGACTCGTTCCCCTTATTCCGACTACGGAAACGAGCTGGACAATTCGATGAAGGCGGCCTACAGGGCTGACTCTTACTGCTACTGGTCAAAACACCGAGCTCATCAAGGTAAAGTTTTGCTTGAGCTTCTTTTCCACAACTCTTGTAATATTCAACCAACTCATCCAAACAGTCAGACTAAAACAATCGAGCTAAAGATAACAGTGAACATACCACCACAGCAAGGCTTTCAGACGCTTTTGCCTTAGATAAGGCACTTTTGAGAGCCTCCTCGGGAGTTTCCGAACCCGGCAAATTGAGGCATTCGGAGATAGGAAACTCAGAAGGCGTGTTTTTCGGCGCTTGAATGAGAGCTCTGGAGAGGGATAGCCAGCTCTGAGCGAGCTCTTCACTACTAAGCCTACTGGTATTCGGTAGTGAGTACTCAGTCAAGCTAAGATTAAAGAGTATCTCCCGGCGATAGAAATGAGCGCAGATCGCGAAGGCGCCCAGACTAGCGCAAGCCTCAGCTGTTGATACAAGACCAGAATCCACCTGTTCAGCCAGTGCTGCCAGTCGTTGCGCGTACTCACTACCACAGACATCCTGTCGTTGATTAGAGAAAGCTGCTTCAGCCCACAGCATCTAGACGTAAAAGTTCCAGTCAAAGGGGTGCAAACCATCTGTTGGTAGCATCGATAGGCGGGTCCATGGAGATCCATCGTAGAAAGAATGTCCCCGAGGCGTTCGTAAAACTTTGAGAGTTGATGCATCTCCTCAACTGCATCGCATGGGCTAAACTGAGCTCTGGTGGTAGTGGTTTCCAACTGAAGACCTCAAAACAATACTGTGGTAAAAATGGATATACACTCACATTTTCCGCATAGGTGCTTAAAATTTAGACCTGATTCAGGATCTGCTCGTGAAAGTTGCCGGTAAACCTTAGCCGCAGTCCTATACTCCCCCCTCCCGACGTAGAGCTGCGCTAAAAGCTCCTCCAAGTTCCGCCTGAGAGTTTTGGATTCTTTATCTAGACAACCTTGCACAGCATAGAACTTCAAAGTTTGACTAAAGTAAAAAAAAGCAGAGACCTACCTGCAGAGTTTAACGGCCTGTAATAGATTGTCAGCCTCCACATGATTCAATAGGTCAGACGGGCGGCATCGAGTCTGAACTACTAATGGCCACTGAAAAAGAGCCAGTTCACATTGTTGGAATACAGCACGAAACATGATTTTCGTTAAAGAGTATTTGCGAGAAATACTGACACACTGGTCGAATTTGGAACGAGCCGACTCGAAATCGCCACAGGAACGAAAAACATGACCTTCAGTAGAGCAAAAAGCACTAGATATGTAGGCTCAAATCGCGAAAAGTAACTAAAGCCAAACTACAGCCAGCAAGAAGCAGGACTCCAAATCGGAAGAAGCAGCGAAAATGCAAGGAGCCTACCTAGGTTGAGAAGCGAGACTGCCTTTATCTCCGCTAGTTGGGACGATGTTAAGTCAGTAAGCTGTGCAACAATTTTTATGCTATTTGATAGAGCCTGTTTGGCGGCAAGCAAACTTCTCCGCGCTATATCACCATTGAAAATGCTATCCGCACGACATTGGAAACACCTCGCGATTGTAACAAAGGCTCTTTGTTGCTCCAATATATCATTCGCCTCCTTCGAAATTTCCAGAAAGAGGCTTGAGTGCTGAATAGCCTCGTTAAAGTCACCCAATTCCAAGTAGCATTCCGCAATGGATCTATGAATTATGGCTAACTGGACTTTTTCGCTAGATGCACTGCTCTTATAAAGTGAGAGGAGGGACTTGTATTCATCAATTGCTGCACTGTAACTATTCTGATCAAAATAAAAGATTGCCAATGAAAGTGTCGCGTTGATCTGCTCACGCAGAGTCTTTGCAGATCGTTGCTGCTGAAGCAATTCTACATAAAATAAAGCGAAGTCACAGAGACCCACTATTAAGTTTCATAAGTGCGAGAATCGCAACGCGGTACGTTTGAAGGGAGGAACCAAATCTTGCTAGTATAGTTCGAATGGATCCAAACAAGACATTCGATGAGGTTAAAATTCAACTTTTGTACGTAAATCACTCTCTGGAAACTAGCAATGTCCCATATTTGAGTAAGCTATTTTTTTGAATACGTCTTGGCTAGATGTATATGAAAAAAATTACCAGCGATCGCAAAATACCTACTGTTCAAACAAAATGCTCCTTCGGTGATCACTGTTTCCATTTCTTGTGTGCGAAATTCCAAAATCTCTAAAGCTAAAAGCGGACTAGGATTTCGACCACTTTGAAATGACATTTAGACCAAGGTTTTAAGTTCCAAGTTCCGCTTCTGTTTTAAACCCTCACTCTAATTATCGTCGCCAAACAGCTGGTTTTTTGCATGATTTAAGATCATATAGTTTGTCAAAGCACCTTGGAGTGATTAAATTTTTTTCCAGCCTTCTATCTGGAGACTGGTTTGCGCCAGTGCCTTGTATTTCTGTAGTGGCGACTACTATAACGATTTCTTACTCATCGAATCCGTCAGCGAGCTTCAATTTACGCTGCTGTCGCATTCCACCTCGACATACGCCCGTCATTCGACGATCGAGCTAACTCAGATCACCACATCCGTGTTAGATTCCCGCGTCTCCCCTAAAGATATGGCAGACTAAACTCAGCGTAACAAGGACACGTCGGTATCGTGCGGAAGAGGTAGGGGCTGCTGACGGTCTGGAAGGCGCAGTTACTATTTATCTTGACTCATTTTATTTCGCTTGAATTTTCGCCTAGGGCATATCTCTTAATGCCGACAGTGCACATCGGAGCCAGACGACTAACAAAACTACCATTACGTTTGACTGCAGTGGTAGCAATGAAGAACTGGAAACCGTTGTCTTTCCAAGTATAAATTCCAACTGTTTATTTTTTATGTAATAAAACACAAGATATTCAAGTAAAGCTCAGCTCTAAATTCTCTAGCGCCAAAACTGCCTTGGACAGAGGAGGAATAAGGTTAATAAATGCACTAAATAGAGGGGTTAATGTCTCAGCCGGTGGTACGAAGGGATGAAGATATGTGGTAGTCACAGACCAATTGTAGGTTGAATTTGGCGTCAGTGGTAGTGAAGAAAATGAGGAAATGAGGATGGCGTGGTAGTGTAGTTCGCTCCCCCCTCGGATACCTCTGACCGTCGAAACTGCCTCACCTTGGAGGCATTTGATGCAGAATCGAGAACCTTCAACTCCTCTAGCAAACCTGACTCAACCAACCAAGTTTGAAATTGTGTCTCGATACATTTCGCGAGATATACACTCTCATCTTCTGTTAAATTGGTGCGCTAAAAGGCAGCAAACAGAAATGACGACGCAGCAAACATACCCATACTAAAGTGTCATAATATAACTTTCGAGGCAATCCATATGTATCTCAATGCCACAGTAATGCTGACTGTTTGAATCCATTGCACCAATCAAATCTATGAGAGGAAAGGAGAACTGAGCACTAAAACAGCTACAACGAGTGAGCAATTGAGCTTGGTGAGGGTAATCCACAAAACGATTAGGTAGCCTCACACTTCTGTAGTCCACCACTGGGTAACTTTAGAAATATAAGTCGATTTGAAATTATTGGCTGCAAACAGAAATATATTCAAACTCATAAATTGGGAAATTGCTAAAGAACGTAAACGGATACTAGAATCAAATCGGTAACAACATTCTCGCCACATAACACGTAACCAAAAGCAGTCCAAACCGATCTCTATAAAGACTTAGGCAATAGACTAAAGAGACAATAGCTAATGAATATGACCTTCTGGAAACAGCTATTATGGATCACTTTAAACACTCTTCAAACACATGAAATATTTACTTGTATGGTTTGTTGCCAAGTTTCGTACGCGGCACGACGTTTGTTCACTGCTTCGGCGTAAACTGGTGGAAGCGGAACAAGAAGAGTCGCTCCCTTAACGGGTGTGTCAAAGTCCTCCCCCGACATGTCAAAGTCACCATTAGAGCCGTCCCCACCTCGATCGCAGTCCACGATCACACCGCGGCAGACATCGCAGGCTTTCTGCTTCAGTCGCATGTTGACTGTGGAGGATGTGACGCTGCCACCGTCCGCGTACTGAATTACTGCTCTGCCCTCCTCATTTGTCGTCAGAGGTGCGAGAGGAATGTTGAAAGGGAAAAAGTTGTCTGGCGGTAGAAGACCCCAAATGCCATTGGACTGATAATGGTTGGGGCCTGACCTCCAGAAGTCATTGCCTAGAAGTATGACGAGCAGATGTGTCAAACAAAGAAGTAGCCTTCTAATATCATTCTGGAAGATGGAAGCTAGTAAATGTGATTAATGGTTTCTAACTGGATTTGCCAAAGGTGGAGCAAACGTTTAGTGTGATGAGCATTTTTATAAAATGCGCCATGTTAATCTAATAATTTGTTTTTGTTACAGCGTGATGTTCTTTGTTCATTCCACATAGCCCAGCTTTTGTGCACCGTATCCCTTCTACTGTTTACTATTGTGACAAATATACCCGCCGATACCTTATCGTAGGGGTTGAAGCATTTTTGTATGACAGCCGGTGTTGCTAAGGCCAGAAAGACTAAGTAAAACCTCAAAAACACAATACTGTCGCATTTTCATAAATTTACGACCATATTACTATTATTTGTTACCCATTTTTCTCACTATCCGATTTCATCCGCAGTGCAAATGTCCGGCTAAAGGAAAAGAGCTGAGTCGCTGGTCCTTTAATTCAAGTAAATCGAACTTATAGTGATATTCATAAACGGTTTACCCACTTGAGCGCAGAAGTTGTTTCATCACCCTTCCTTCAGTTTCAACGCTTTTTCGGGTGACTTCAGGGAACATGCAATTAATTACCGATTTCTCTTTCACTGTAAGTAGTGGGAGTTGCTAATGCCCTGATTCTATGAAGGTCTTTCAAAGCTGCACATAACATTTGCTTCTTGGAGTCCTTTCAATCAACCAACTATCAACAATAAATAAAGAATTATTCTTTGCTCATGCGCAACAAACAAAGCAGTCTAAATAGTTTCTGACGCAATTTATGAAGTACTGTGAACTTTATTTTCCTAGCTCATCACAAATCTTACTCCAGCTTTGATTGATGCTAAAAATAGAACCTATTGCAAATGACAGACAAAATGGCGACATGATTTCAACGTAGCGAATAGAAAATACTGGGCAAAAGCCGTGCTTACATCTATTCAGCCTGAGGAGTGGTTAGCTTTGATCAAAAAGCCTACCAAAAAGGAGGGGTTTGCCCCAGAGATTGACAGCAGGATTCAGAGCTGCTTTGTCAAGATGATGACGAAGTTCGGGGTAAGTAGTGTGAAAAGGAGCAAAAACGATGTCCTCGTTGCCAGGGCCGTTTTGGGCACGCGAGACACCTGAAAGGGGTGACGGGGGGCAGGAATGAGGAGCGCTGGTTCCAACAGCGACAGTGGAGGTCGTGATGGGAGGTGGTTGCAGGAGAAGAGGCCGCGTGGCACACAGGAGGTGGAGGGTGCAGCGTCGTGAGGCCCACACCACTACACGACGTGCCGCAGCAATGATCAGGCAGTCCTCGCAGTCTGTTAACGTCAAGGTACTTTCGATTGGACCGAGGACGATCGTCGAATTGCGACACTGATCTAGAGCAACGCACCTATTGGATGGGTTGCATCAGGATCGATTATTTTCATCTCAATAATAAATTTGGACCCATGAACCCTCAAAAGTCCATCCAGAGCCCATTAAAGTCAGCCATTTATGTGACATAAATGGGAATGATAACTTGCAATCAGTCGTAAATTGGTGCCCATTTCAAGTCGTGAATGCACTGCAACACCTCTTAGAGTAGTTCAAACTTAAGGAAGGAGTACAAATAATCAGAAGAAGGCTAGAAAGAAACCTAACAAAGCCACAAAGAAGGTAACGGTTTTTGCAGACTCACCTAAGTGGAGCAAGCAGATATATGGAGCTTGAGGTTGCGCGATGCAGTCGAACCGTTGCGTATTTAAGCAAACGAGATCCCTGGATTTTGGAAGGAAAATTGTTTGGCATTCAACGCAAATGATCAAAACTTTATTAGGTGAAATACTCACACGAGCAATAAACTGCTTGTGAAGCATCTCCGCTGCAACAATCTTATTCCTGCAAAGAAAAACGAAAGTAGGTTTGAGGCTTAAGTAAAGGGAGTGTGAAGTAGTAAGTTTTATAAAGACTAAAACCGCACCCAAAAAAGTACTGCGCCTTGACGACAGTGGCTAATATAACGACCTTTGATTAAAAGATTAGAGTTTATTAGGAGAAACTTACCCTCGAAAGCCAGTTGAAGGTGGCAATTGGTGAACATTAGTAGCAATTTTCTGTCGTCTTTTGGAAGGTTGCGTTGACAAAGATGCAGTGATGTTACTCACCTTTCCCCAATGTATGTGAGTACCATTGAGAATGCAGGACTCCACGGAGAAGGGACATTGACAAACATTTGCACGGATCCAAGAGTGCAGACAACGCATGCTGAAGGTCTTCGCCAACTAATTCCAGCATAGGAAATCATATATCCGCTGATACACAATAATAACAATAGTCTTTACAATTTGAGTAGCTTAATGTTGGTAGCAAAAGTAGGATCTAAGGTGCCTTTAGGCACCTTATTTCAAAAAACATTCTACCACAGGTGAACAAAACGGATTCCTTTATTAGTAGGAAACGCATACATAAATCCAAGGTCAAACTGTGCATAAAGCCACCACAACAAAATAAATGCAGCTGAAAAGCAATGCCCATAGAGAAGGTGCTCCTGTCAATCCTGATGGAAAAAAACCTACTAAGCAAACTGGCAAGGGGTAAATTACCTGCAACCATATCAAAAATGGAGGCTAACCTTATCGTATCCAACATGAGAAATGCACAACGGATCAAAGAGAATGTCTCGAAGGGATTTGATTGAACTAAATGAATATATAGACTCATTACAGAAATGGTAACCTCATCCGATCGACGGTTCCTTCGAAAAGGAAGGAAAGGGCATCCAAAGCGCAGAAATGGATGGATTTATCCCCGTTACTAATAGGAGAGGAACTGCTCCCTGGAGGTTCTAAGAGCATAAACGGATCCATTTAGCTCCCAAAATTTTTATTGTTCGAGAAGTTTAAAAAATTCGAAGGATGATCTAAATAGTAGAACAAGAAAGTGTATAAGAACCCCTAACGGAGTGAAAGTTAGGTGAGCTTTAATGACATCAACCGTAGGAATCCAAGTGCTCTAAGAAATAAAAACAAACTGCACAATGAAAAGAAATCGGTTTATTTCATCTAATTTTGCCAATAAACCAGTATTTTTCCTTTATTTCAACGCAAAAGCGTACCTGAGTCTGCTAAGAGCTCCAGAATTTCTACCAGATAATCCGTGATGAATTGCAACTGGTATTGCTCGGATGTATTCTAGAACAGATCGTACTCTACAAAGTTAACTACCTTGAATCTTCTCACAGCGGTTGAAGTGGTTAAAACATCTAAACTCTTTGTAGGCGACCCTGGCCACCTAAAGGAACGGTTATTTCGAAAACTAAATGCCTACTCGCCGCTAACAGAAGCTGCTGATGATCGTAAGGACAATTTGTTAATTTGAGTCGCATAAAGAAATATCGCGAATGTGTAGAGGTCTACAGATTGCTGAAGCCTAGTGCTTTCTGGAGACAATAAACAGGGAGACACTAACCTTTTTCAGCTAAATCGCTTATTCTTGCAAGAGATGATTCCAGTTCCATTAAGTACTCCATTTTGGGGCAGGACATAATCAAACATGTCTCAAAATAACTTCAAGATATAAATTAAACCAAATTTACGCCCAAGCTGCTTCTTCAGTAAAATTCAACTTGTTACAAGCAATGTGTTTCCAAATTGCATAACTATGACGTAGACATTGGATAACCTGTATACCTGAGGTGCGTGTATTCACCACTGTTCTTACTCTTTGCATAGGTAATTAGTCTTTTAATATTCTAAACTAAGTTTGGGTGTATTATGGATGACATACGTTGACAGTAAGCCGTGGATTGGGTTGCATTGGAAAGACACCGAAAGAAAACACCTCGGATCGCGGCCATAAAGAAATAGGCTTCTTGAATCTGTACTCCATTGTGAATTGGAGGCACAAAGCTCAGCAATGGCAGGGAAGCAAATACAGGAAATGCGGCAGGATGTCTATAAGAGGCATTGGCAACAGATTGTGTATATGGCCTTGGTTGATAACCAATCAGTAGAATAACTGTAGATTTTGCAGATTAGGAACGAATAAAGTCCTCACTAATGGTAAAATAAGATCGCATTATTCAATGAATACCCTACCTTAAGCCACCAAGCAAAATCTCTCCGGTGCAAACAGATTAAATTATAAAGACTTGGCCTCATTTGGGTGATATTGGCGATACTGAACAGCCGGACTAGTAAAACCGGCCTAAGTGCGCAAATCAGAAGATGGGTCCTCCTGGCGATTCACAGGTCATTTCTACCGATTTCCAACGGGATATTCCGGGAGTTGGTAATGGAGCCTATGACAATTACTCACCATCTGATGAGTTCTCCAGGTTCGACACCACTTCTTTTATGAGGCCTGTAGACTCGATGTCGGGGATGATTTTTGTCTCCACTGCCATGAGGGATTTAAGGTGAACGAAAAAGTTGTTCAGGCTCGAAATGAGAAATACCACGTGGACTGTTTTGTGTAATTTCATCGTTACCTCAATAACTTTTTGCGTATAGCTGCGCACAGTGCTTCCAGCCTTTTCCAGACGGTGTATATTACGATGTAAGTCCTTTACGTTCTTGTAACTTAAATTAGTTCGACGGAAGAAAGTATTGCGAGCATGATTTCCATGTGCTCTTTGCGCCTTGCTGTGGTAAATGTGGCTACTTCATCGTTGGTCGCGTCATAAAGGCAATGAATAGCAGTTGGCATCCTGAGTGTTTCCGTTGCCAAATCTGCGACAAGTGCCTAGCGGATGATGGTTTCGTTAAACATGCTGGCAGGTATTTATTACTTACTTTTGCTCTTTACTCATGCATCTACTTATGTTGTTTTCATCTTCGCTCCAGAGCTTTATGTCATGAATGCAATGCCCGAGAAAAAGCGAATAGCTCTGACCGTATTCTCTGCTTTAAATGCCATTCATATGTTGACGAAAGCCAGCAACTTAAGTATCAATCAGAGGTGTATCACGCCTACCATTTTACTTGTTCATCATGTGGATCTGAGCTCAGTTCTGATGCTCGAGAAAAGGACGGAGACCTCTACTGTCTCCGCTGTTTCGATAAAATGGGAATCCCAATTTGTGGCGCTTGTCGGTAAGATTCTTATCGCTTTGAAGCCTGAAGTGCCTAATACCATTTCCCTCTATTGTTTCTGCGTAATGCTAAATCACTATCGCTAGAATAAAATCATGATGCCAATCTAAAAAATTTTTGTTTTGTGTTTGATCAACACGAGGTGCTTAATCGTGTGCGAAAACCACAAAGGCTTGCGTTTTTTGTACCTTTTTATGGTAGCTCGGTTTGTTAATTCCGTCAATTTGGGCTAATTTGTGTCGTACCCAAAAGCCATTACTAAATTTACAAAATGCGGAAACAGTAGTGTTCAAGCTAGTTTTATGTTTGGGTTTCTTTATTTTTACGTTCTTTTTTCCATTTAACAGTCGACCTATTGAGGAGAGAGTAGTCCATGCGCTGGGTAAGACCTGGCATGTGGAACACTTCGTTTGTGCACGCTGTGAAAAGCCGTTTTTGGGTTCACGACATTACGAGAAAAAGGGACTGGCCTACTGCGAACTTCATTACCAGCAGTTGTTCGGCATGCTGTGCTACTCTTGTAATCAGGTCATCCCTGGGGAGACTGTGTTTGCTCTGAACAAGGCTTGGTGTGTTGACCACTTTGGGTGCATTGCCTGTGATCGACGCATCAGCCCGAAGTACGTTCTTCCTTTCGATCTGTTCATTTTAGTCGTTACTGTGGTCCGCTAGGTTCCTGCATAACCTTATGACGCGTACTAATATTGTGAGGGTCTCCCATCAACTCATCGTCTTTACTTTCCATTCATCCTGTTACACCATTGCATGACTTTAATTCCCACTGCGCACCTACATGAGAAAAAGTGGGTTGGTAATGGGAGAGTTATTGCAAGCATTATTGCCGCTGTTCATGTGTTCAAGTTACTTTATGTGTGTTGATTGGTTTTGAAATGTTTGGCAAGATCACGTTTAGCAATGTTTACCACAGCGATACTAGGCTAAGGCACAAAAGTATCGTAGTAGGCACTTTGCAACTTCATGTATTAAATAGTATGGTGAGGAATGCAATGCAAAGTGTGTGGGAAGTGGAATTCTCGTTTTCTATTCCTTTGGTCAACATCTTCAATTTCTCGCCATCGCGAGAAGTTCTGTGCCTCAAAGAATATTAAGGTTTTTATTCCTTCTCTTTTTCGAGGACGAAGTTTTACGAATTCGACCTCCGTCCCGTTTGCAAATCCTGCTACGAGATGTTCCCGATAGAACTGCGGAAGCGAATCGCCAAAATGCACAAACTGGAGGATTGAGGGCGCCAGTTCTCCTCCTTTTCCCCCTCTCTTCAATCTCGTCCTACCAATTTTGTTCCTTTCCTTTTTCCCTTGCTTTTGTTGCTTCTTCTACAAGTAGCGAACACTTTTATCGACCCATTCATCATGACTTTAATCCGACTTACAAATGTTGTGAAACTGAAATGCATGAATCGAAACTCGCTATGTCCTTATCCGCTTTGTCCAGCAACCTCTTTGGTTTAAGATTGGTAAATAGTTGATAAATAATTACTCCTCCTTACTCATGACGCTATTCTTTTCATCTGTTTTACGGTTCAACGTAATTAATTCAAGGCCCACAGGATTAGAATAGTCTCACCATCTTAACTTCGTTATTCACTGTCCGTGTCTCGTAGCCTAATTCGAGTAGATTTAAACCTCCAAGCCTCCTTATATTTCCTAAATTGGTAGCTCTGGTCTATTTTGACTAATCCCAACTTTCTTGTAAATCGGAGAAATGAAATATTGCGGGCAAGACCAGGCTACTCCATCCACTGACGACATCCAAGTGGTTGGTCATTTTGCTGATCTGAAGCCAGCACATGCACCATAACCTTGGAGCCTTAGACTATGGCTTAGTCACTTTGAAAATGGGGGCATTGGTAACATGCCACCATTTGCTAGGTCTTGGAAAGTCCATTTCCGGCGTTTTCGCAGCAGGTAGTAATTTAAGTGTTGTGTTGCAGAGACTAGGTCGATTAAGCACGTTCCGTCGAATGAAATAAAGATCTCCACCACCTAAGATGCTTTATTTCTTAATGGAAGTGAGGTTTGATTGAGGATTACAAAACAAAGACCGGAAATCGACTGTTGAAACCCTCATTTCGGATGAACATTTCAGATCGTGCATAGTACGTGTCGTACCTAGAATACAATGCAAGTGAAGGCCTTTGTGACGTAGAGACTAACCAGTGACGTATGCACTAAAGCGACGCAGTAGGAGCACCAGCGAACAAGCGATTATTGTCAAGGTGATTCATGGAGGACCCACGTCACAGCAGGTGTGTGTGAATGCCTCCACCCGGACGGTCAGCTACATACACGCGGTGAACCTAATCCTTCTTAGCACTATTCCCAGCTGAATCCCATTAATCCATCCATAACAATTTAACTGAGGGGTTCAGAACGGAAGTACTGCAGCTTCGCTTTCGTTTTCTGACGATCACGATACGAAATTCACTTTTCCATTTCCAAAACGCAGCAACCAGCATTACATTCATGAGCTAGTGGTTAGTGGCCGCAAACCCACATGGCTGGCGCCAATGACTATCGCCGTAGCGATTTATTTGTGGGTGCTGTTCAAAGGTCAACACATCTAATTTCCACATACTCGCCTTAAGGCAATGATTAGCAGACAAGCCCGCCTTCCTACACAAGACCATGAAAGTTAACAAGGCAGGTCTTCCAACGTTACAAATGTTTTCAAGTGACTCAAGTGCAATGACATTACATTTCCTTCATTAATAGAGAGCCATGATGTTTATATTAAAATCCCAATGTCTTCGTCGACCTGAATTATGACATGTCATTGCTGAAGGCACGCCCCGAACAGGTGAAGGCTTAATGTGCGGAAACGATGCCGACAGCCCAACAAGTAGATGACTGCCTTAAATAGTAGTAAATAGAGGTATACCACCCTTGGAGCAAATATGCGTACAAACAATGCAAACCCTTTGACAGAGGATGAAAGAACGCAGTGTACACAGAAATCAATGGGCTGGAAAGATAAAGGTTATCGGATGGTAGTGTGACGACGTGCCTCCAGAGTGGTGAAGAGAGCCTGATTAAGGGCGGCATCAAGACCAGTTCGAACGAGGGGCGCAAAGAGGCGAATGGCACGAAGGTGGGTGTCGCGACCGTTCTGATGATTGGCAAGGATGCGCAGCTGGAGGGTAAACAAACTCACTGGCGCCCCATTTGGCCATCGCAGCGGTAGCACTGACCAACCGGAGGGCTCATGCAGCTCTACTTCCGTCAACTCCACCAGATCACCCACATGATTGCCCACCCGGATTGCGATTCTTAACCCGAAAAAAGTTGGCAAATTCTTGTACTTGCTTTTGAATGGTCCAAAGAACTGTGTTCATCCGATCAACAAGCCCCAGTTAGTACATCCAAACAGAAATCGTGACTTACCTGTAGGCATTTCAATCACAGATGTTTCGATCTAGGTCCTGGTGACATGGGGATCTGGCCATAGAAACACTAGACTTTTAAGACATAAGCACTCTTATAAACAGTCTATTTTGAAGCCAAGTTTATGTCATGGCTACTAAGCAACTAGCAACGATGCAATCTGTCCAATCTGACAGTGACAGCAAAGACACCAGGTCGAAGATCAATAGGTGACGAAGTTGCAGTTCTTTTTTAGCAGTTTTAAAAACCGCACAAAGGGATAAAACGCAGAAAGTGAAGTCATTTAGTAGTCATTTGAGATCGTATTCCTCACATTCTTCAGAACTCGAGAGGTTATTATGTCGATGACTTTAATCAAATATATTCAGGAAAACCAGATAAACTGAGTAGTTGTAAAAAATCCCGTCCACAACGGAATGCTTCCACGAACGCTTTAAAATTCCACAAGCAACCATACTAGCCCGCATGAAATACCAATGAGGCAGTTTAACTAAAAAAATCGAAGGGAGAATCACACTCGATTTCCCGTGGGAATCCTAGGCAAGCAACTACTCCATAGGCTTTAAATTACAAACTTACCAAGCAAATTAGCACACTGTGACATAGTCAGAAGTTTCATAAAATTAAGGTCTAAAATGTGGGCTAGAAGCCATTTTAAACAACCTGACTTCCGCAGAGCCCTATGATGGGTAATGGGAGAACTACTTCACAGCTTTGCAGCACAGGTAAGTAGGCGTGATTTTGAACGGTTTTAATTAACGTGATAAAAAGTTTACGTTCGCGGATCCGGTCAAGAGGTGGTGATTTGTTACGTCTGCAATAAATGAGCGAGAAAAAAACACATTAAATGGTAATGCAAATCTTAACTCCAACAGACTTCGCGTCTTTTAGGTTGGGATGATTGACGATTTTGCAAAGATAAAAAGCCAATAAAATGTAGTTGAATCCGACACACTAGGTTTCATGGAATTACTACTAAACGATGCATTTACAATGACGATTATAGAAGGATCACCATATTTGTGGAAAAAGACATCCCATGACGTAGAGAAGGCTTACCAGTTTATGAAAGAGATCACACCAAATCCTAACGCATTTAAATTATTCAAGTTTAAAACGACAAATTATGTACAAGGTGCTGTTAGCTTGAAGACCTTTCATGCGAAAACTAAGCCTTGGTAGCAAAGCCGCGGAAGATTTGGTTTTCAGCTTTCCCATGAGATGAAGCCATAGTAAGCAGTGCTACAACCTACCGGCTGGGCGTATAACTCTCGTCCACTTTGTAGTCATTATAGAGACAAATCTCAGAGATAATTGTCTTCTGGGGAAATTGCACAGTGACGGTGTGAGGCTGTGGTCCGTCAGACTGCCAGTAAGTATCCAACGATTCGTTAAGCAATTCATTAATCCCATGGTTGCTCTTACACGAAGAGAGGCACCATACAGCTCGATCACTTACGTCGCATACCTTTAAAGTGGAAAAGAACGAAGAACTTAAGACACCTTTCGGCATGCAGTAGTAAAGCAACTGCTTCTTAGGCGACGTGAGCGCAGGAGGACTATGGCGACGCCTATAAAAGGCAGACAGCGCTTTCTTCACCATTTAATCACAAACCCAGTTCTAGACATTCCTCGCAGCTATATACATAAAGCCCAAGTTGAAGGCGTGAACTCAATAATATTGCAAGATTTTGAAGGAGATATACAGCTCTCCCAAAATTTGCACAACACTCCTAGCACAGAGAGACAGGCTTGTGGAATAGCAAGGCAATCGTGTGTTAAAAAATGAATAAGCCCTTCCAAACAAAACAGTCATAAATCAAATACCCACGTTGTCAGTTTGAAGGGAAAGCTATTAACACCTAAGCGACCAATGAGTGGTGGTTTATAAGAATATCACTAAGGTAGCCATCAAAGAATGTAGACAAAGTACCATCCACATGCAAAGAAACGCTAAGCTCGCTGTAGGACAAAAATTACCTTTCCTTCACGCTCCTTCTCAGTAATGTCGGCCGATGTTACCGTTTCAAATGCAGCGGCCATCTGGAAGCTAACAGGAGTACTCCGATATTATAAGCACCTCATTTCATCCTTCACCGTCGCACATTAACAGAACACAAAATAGCCTTCGATAAGTATTTATTGCACAAAGCACTATGCAAAACGGATAAAGACCCTCGTGAAATTCTAAAAGAAAAAATTAAAAAGACCATTTAATCACATAAGATTCCAAAAGTAGTTGACACTAAATCTGGCCTATGTTCGTGCAGAAACCGAATGCCAAAAAGGACACGTGTTACAAATTCATCACCAACTTCTAAAGCTGTTCGCAAGAGGACATGCATGATCGATGAGATCCAGACGCTGGAAAAATATTTTAAATTAAAATGCTGCCAAAGAGCGCAAGCATTAAAATCACTACTTAATTGAGAACTGTTAACACTTCGATTTCAGGATCGGTCGGTTAATGCTGCATAGGTGGTTGCAATACACCTAGCCATTAAGCATTAAGTGCAGCAACTCCAAATGGATGTTTGCGTAGGTGTTGGAGAGTCCCACTTACTATAAAGAAAAAGACCTTTTCAAAGCTATTGCTGAAAGGAAGGCGGGGTGGAGGGTGGACTAGCATGGTTGGGTGCGGTTGTAGAGGCGGTGAGTGGAGTTATGGTGGTTCGACGTCGGAGCATTGAGGAAACGCCACTTGATGCCATTGGACTACCTGGCAATGGCGGCAAACCCGGGATGACATCGGCCCACAGAACCCACAGCGGACGCAACTGAATTAAAAGCACGCAATGCGTTTAACTGACATGGCATAGTCAGAAAGACCTGCTCTACTTGCGGCTACACGTCTGCTCCCATTCGCATATCGCTCACTGCCTAAAAGGTGGTCCCACAGAGCTCCTGAGTGCACTTAAAAGCGAAGCATAAAATGATTGCACATTTTTTGACGAAACCAAAGATAAAAACTGAAGCATGCAGGCCGTTACGTTCTGCCATAACAATTTCAAAACTTATTTTGCGATTACTTCGAAGAATGGAGACAAAGTTGCCAATGCAAGGGAAGGCTAAAATGGTCAGACGAGGCCTACACAGTTCCCAACTCTTCATAGGAAGGCTTAAATCCATTGCGAGAACAGAAAGGGAGTTTAATACCGTCGACAGACTCCTAATCCCAAGTAGCAGTATACAACGCTACAATAAAAAGACCAAATTTCAAGAATAAGTTAGACATTGGCTGGGAATGTAAATAAAAGCCAGTTCATATTACAGCAAGAAAACAGAAAGTCGCTAAATCAGAAAACAATATTACCACTGACGTCAGAAGCCGATTTGCCTAAGTCATTTTCCGCCAACAGCAAAAGTAGAATAGGCATACTTAGGGAACAACGAGAGCATAAAATTGAGACTGAAATAAAAACAAACGCAGAGCGTCCGAAAACCAGAGTGGAGGGACGTTGAGACTGAGTGAAAAAGTCAATAACAAATCAGGGGAGACAAGGTGTGATGATGCGGGATGAATTAAGAGCATTACCTCCAAGGTCAAATTTAAGCACTTTTGTAAGGAAACGGGAGGAGGAATGAGGATAGATGGGACCAAAATATGACAGCCTCATTAAAACTGCTGACGTGGATAGGCATATCAACATCAAAGGTGATCATTCGAGCTATCACACGGGCATAGAAACTAGATACAGGAGGTCAGCCTTTTAGTGCTAAGACTCGAAATTATACCTTGCACGTAATAATAGAATTAGAGAGATCAATGATTTTCAAAGGTTTACTGAACATTCTATGGAGAGATGATACACATTATATATAAGAGTAAGAAATACCCAATCAAGTTCATAAAGTCATAAACTGAACAGCAACTCCAAAAAGCAGAACACAATGGATCCATAAGCTTTTACAGCCCATCACAAAGGATACTCCTGGAAACTGAAGCCTAAAGGATGCGTAAATGAACTATCCACGAGGTTACAAGGCGAAAAATTATTTGTTGCCTTACCTATCTGTAACCCAACCTCCACGCTCCACTTGTATCCCTAGCCTCTTTTCCAATTGTAAAACCCGGTACCAGGATGTCATGCCTTATCATGGGAATGAGAATGACCCAGCCACTGAAGTGCAACATGTATCAAAAGGAGGGTAGTTGGAAGCGTGAACGCACCTCAGCTAACACATCAGAGCACATCTCTCCGGCTATGCGGTGGACGCCGTGCTCGCGATTATTGTACATGCGCGCGTTCGCAAACATCAAGAGAAGGTCACGCAGCAACTGTTTGGCGATGCACGCGACCACTTGCTGAGCCGTGGGGACGCTCTCCACTGTAGCAGTACCACCACCGCTTCTTGACGAGGAGCCCACTGTCGCAGATGCAGTGAGTGGTGCAAGACTCGTCTCAACACGTCGGCGCAACATGGTCAGGTCCATTGGAGCGTAGATCATGCTTGAGTAGCCCGGGGCGATCTCATCGGTAACGGGGTGAAGAAAGATATGAGCGTGGCGGTGGGAGCACACCGTGGCCAGCGCTGATAACAGACCTCGTCGCCATCGACGACGCGGCGCCAACTGAGTTACCAAAGGAGATGGAGATGGCACTAGGAGTGGTGGAATGAGATCCCTCAGCATTTGAGCCTACCATAGGCATGATCACTACCACCGACATCTAGCGTAGAGAGCATGACAAATTTGAAACATAAAACAAACTGGGAGTTTAAAAAGGTTAGGAAAAGCGGTTGCCAGACATCACATAAGATACTATAAGGAACCAGGATGTCAGTTTCGAAGGTAATCAACTACTGACTGAGCAGAGAATCAGTGGAAAGTTAAGTGATGAAAAAACCAACCGCCAGAAATGTCGCAAGTTACAGTCGGTAAAACTTCGGCGAAAAAAAAAAACAAAAACAACCAATTCCAGCACACTTGAACTGACTTCTCCAATACTACCAACTTTAACGACAACAAAATAGCAAGAAGGTGTAGGGGGATGGGTCTACCAGAAAGCAAATCAGTGCTCTGACGAGAGCGATTCCTCGATCTGACTGGAGTTCGTGAGGGAACGTGATGTTCCGCCTTGATAGTTGAAGCGCGTTTATGTGGGGGCCGGACAATGGTATGACTATGGAAGACCTCTGAGTCCACAGCCGTATTGAAAGGCGTTGTGGGTAAATTTGGGGACGGAGAAGACCGCTTCGTAATAACAGTAGTTGGAGCAACTACTGTTAATGGCTTCTTGAGTGCAACGTTAGATGCTCGACGAGTAGTCGACGTAGCGACCTCAAATGTTGAAGATTGTGCGATGTCTGCCTAGAAGGAGAGGAAATGCTTACTTAATCCGTTTAAGAATCAAGGCGCAAAGTAAACTCACTGTCGACATTACATGAGGAGAGAGAGAAGGCGAAAGGTCCTCCACTTTCTCCCTTTCATCGACCTCCACCTTAATGCCACTGGGCTCAGTGGCAAATGACTCAACAGATTTTGCATCAAAGAATGTTCGTAGCACTTCTTCTGAGCAAACCGGAATCCACAGTCCACTATCTGCATCGATGACTGCCTGATGCAAGCCTCTTTTAGCCAATTCGTCGTAATAGAGATTCCGACGCGTCTCCCTATCCTCCTCCTGATTTGACGGTAGGGGTTCAAGATGCAGAGATTCGGCAATCACATCCGGCAAGCCGAAAGCTCTCAAACGTTTGCGATAAATAAGGAGACTTTCTGGTGTAATTTCTGAAAACCGATTCGCAAGAAGCTTTCGATTGTCTCTTTGCCTAGCTCTACGGTGGTAGAATAGCCAATCAGGAGAGAAGCACAATATAGCAATACGACCATAATTACCGAATTTAAGAAAAGACTGTTTGCAACTTACTTTAGCTTAACCACAAGTTGTTCCCGCGCATGTTTGATTTGTTCTTGACGACGCTGCCCATAATTTAATAAAGCGATTTGCAGAAGGTCGGTCTCTTTGAGGTAGTCCGACTGCCTAGCTCCTCAAAAATATAAACCTGTTCAAATGCTCACCCTTCGGCTTGACGTGCAGAAGCGATTAAATACTTGTATTGGATAGAGCAATTCTAGTACTATCGGATAAAGGTATAACCAGCTACCTTTTCAGAAAAGTCCTTTCCTTTATCATCCCTTAGAAATGCGTGAGTGATGACTGAGAGTGCACTACTGACGAGTTTCCAATCCTTCCCATAGACTTTGACACTTTTGAGCAAATAAAAGTTTGCACCATCACTCCAGTTCATTGTTCTGCAGAGGGACGCCCTGCAACAGCACCAAACCTACGAGTAATGGATCATTATTACGATTAAACATTGTTAATATCCACTGCGTAGATCGCTACAGGATAATTTAATGAGAACATGAATCTATTGCGCAAACGAATAATGTGTTGGAAGCAAAGAGAACGCCTACACTTTTGGGTCGCGACAAATAACACCGATTATGCACACAAGCAAGACACTTTCGTTCCCGCCCAATTAGGTTACCCAACTCACCATTTGGTTCATCCAGTGTAATTGCTAAGACATCGAAACCCCTTACTTAATTCTTATAAAATAGCTTAAGAAATGCAACACCTTTCTGTAAAACGCTGACAAAGGAAGCACAAAATACCGTGTAGGGTGAACAATGATTGCTTTCATAAATACAGGTGGTGGTTTAGTTGATCAAATGGGATTCATAAAATACGGGAAACGTTTAACCATTTCGCATTTTTTGCCAGCTAATGGGGTGCATCGTATGCGCTAGACAGCACACATTCTATATCTGATTAACTTGCCCAAATAGCTTTAAAATGAAATATATTCATTATAACTTAACTCAGTTTAAGGAAATGCCTTAAATGTTGAGGTTGAAAGGCAACAGGTAAAGCGGCTTGAAGCTTCTTTACTGGTACGGTTGAACATAGTACACCTGCCATACCTCGATGCGCAGCCCCTCCGACAATGTAACTATGCCTGCCTAAGAGGCTGACTTCAACAGAAACTTATTCTCGCCAAATTTTTACACTAAGTTCTGACCAAAATTTGTGTAACTTCCAGCATATAACGCTAAAGCCGACGCTTCCTATGGGTCAGACCATCCACATTACTGTAACCGAAACTGAGGACCAAACATGCATAGCAATTCAAAGTCCACTTTTTAATATGGTCCCTGTCATCTCTCTGCAATAGGTGCTGACGAGAATTACCCTAGAGCCAATGCTGTCAGTGACCAATTTCTTATGCACTCTAGGAGTTTAATGGAGACCAACGTGACTACGTCATGGCGATCCGGCCGGATCTCAGATTCTCTCTGTTAATAACGGAATTTAGAGATATGAATTAGCGCCATATATTATGCGCGCCCATAGTTATACGTCGATTTTTAGCGATTTTAAGGCGGATTTGCGATGGGCAATATGAGACGGGGTTTTGAGAATTCTTAAATTGCAGAAAAAGGAGTGGTGTCAAGTGGTAGAAATGAGGTCAGGCGTCAACCTAAAATCTAGTACACTTCCCACTACCGAAAACGTAGAGCTCCAAGACTTTACTTCGGGCGAAAGACTCATTGCTTTCCAGCTTAAGTGGCGAAAGCAATAGTTAGCGAAACCAAGGATCAAATCGTCAGCAAGTTATCACCAAAACAACCAGGTATGATAGTCTGGTTCTCTAGTCAAGTCTGCAGGGCTGAGAAGCACTTCTGATGGAGCATGCGCCGCGTAATAACCGTTTGACACAGAAATATCGGTTTGCATGCTTGGGCAACAGCCGTTTTCCTCAAAGCACTCCCTGCCTTGCACAACTGCAATTCATTGCGGGTATCATCTTTCTGTTAACAGGTTAAAGTTCTCTTTCATTCGAACGAAGTACACATACCACTACCGTTAGTGGTTTTACCTCACACCAGAATGCTGCTACTGAGTTCCAAATGAACATAGTGAGGCTGGAGGGCGAGCGCGCGGCCTAAGTGCCCGAGGTCGACTAAGTTAGCTAGAACCGTCCGACCAATCACGAGGGCCCAAATGCTAGCCTCAAGGAACGAACCACAAACCTCAAGCACGAGAAACCAAATCTCGACTTGTGCATTCCCCATCGACGAACCAAGCCGCATCGCTCCTACCCCAGTAGCCGCTCGAGCGGATCAGATGCGTCAACCCCCCCCCGGGAAGCCAAAGCAGGCAGCGGTTACAGTAGTGTAATAGCGCAATGGACCGGCTAGCAACAGGTAAAACCTTTACAGTTATTAACAGTGATTCAGTTTTCCATGGACTCTTGTTTCTCATCCTCGCTGTGGTGTTCGACGACTTCCTGACGCGCCTCCTCAGTTTCAGACATAGAACGCGACCTAGAACGCGACTTGGACGCTGAGCGCGAGCGTTCGACCGGCGATCCAGAGCGCGATCTACGCTCAGAACCAGATCGGGACGGAGATCGCGAGCGTTCGTGTGAGCCCGATCTAGAACGATCCCGAGAGGCCGAACGAGATCTCGCCTTATCGGCGGTCGAACCATCACCATTCCTGCTAGCAGAACAGCTGTGACGACCAGCAGATCGGCGATCGCTCCGGTGTGAAGTTGACCTATCCGACCTACGAGACCTTGACCTTGACCTAGACCCAGACTTCCGCGATTCATCCGATCGAGAGTGGTCACTGCGACGGGAACGGTCGCGATCGGAACGTGAATGCCTGGACGATGATCGCCGACGACTATCCGATCGAGACCTATCTCTGCGTCGGGAGCCTCGACTCTTAGAGCGTCTAGAACTCCTCCTGCTCCTACTACGCCGCGAACCAGACCTTGAACGATGGCGCGGCTTGTCAGCATACACCTTCAGACGCCTCTCGTAGAGTACATATCCGTCATACTTATCAATGGCAGCTTTCATATCATTATAAGTTGCAAATTCAACAATGCTAAAGGGGTTTAGTTGAAAGGAAAGTGCATACCCTTCATTTCGCACTTGTTTGTGTGCATCGGCATACGTAACCTCGCCTGCCTTCCTCATCATATCTTTCAAATCCTGAAAACAGATATCCATCAGAAAAGACACATATAAGACTACAGGCAAGCCCATACTTTCGAACGGTATTTCCAGAAGTGATATCCATAAATCAGTTTTATATAAACTCACGGGCTGCCTCATGCACTTAGTATTTTTGCCTAGGTTGACTACGTGATCCACTGCGAGTGACAGTGCTTCTATAAGCACCAAAATACACCCCATCCCCTCGGTGGCTATGCGGTCTTTAATGGATTAAATTACCTAACAAGAACGAGCCGTGCCACGTTATCGACCAAGCCACCTGAATAGGAACCACATTCACTCGACCATACGACCTGAACGGGAATTCAGTGAACCGCCTTAGCGTCCTATGCGACCGCTGCCACGGCACCGAGGACAAACTGAATTTAAGATAGCCATTACACGTTAAGTCAGAACGCATTTACACACTTCCAGACAAAAGATTAAACACCCACCTGCCAGCTGACGCGAGATGAAAGATTCTCGACGATGACGCGATAGTCGGTACGAGTGGGGGGACCATAGCGCCTAACTTAGTAAATCTTTAAATATAATCCAAACTTACGATTCCCGGCGTCGACTACTTCCTCTGGCCCCAGGTGGCAGCCTAGCATGTTCAACAACAATACGCTCACCCCTCAGCTCTCTGCCGTGGAGGTCATACACGGCATCATCCGCATCTCGCTCATCGTCAAATTCAACAAAACCGTAACCGGTTTTCAGAACGATATCCCGAAGACGCCCATAGCCTCTGAAGAACTTCTCGATATCCCTCTCGCAACACCTGGCAGGCAAACGACCGATGTAAACTCTCGACATGATTCGCAAAAGTGAAAGGAAATTGCGGAAATTGGGTCCATTTAAACAAACAAAAATCTACAACATTTAACAAATAGCATAGTGCAATCAAGCGTGTCTAAACGCATTAGTTACACCAATAATAATTTAGAATTGCTATTCAAGGTGTCCTTTTTATATATTTTGAAATAAAATCGAGAAATGTTCTGATAGCTTCGCAACAGCCTTCATCCATGACCTAAAAAATTAAGCAAAACTTAATAAATGCTACAAAGCATATTGATTGCCTAAGTTATCTTTAGAAAGAGAGAAACGGAAAGTCTATTAAAACCGCACACAATCGAAGTGTGATGGTTTTTCCTATGAATAACATGAATAAATTCACATTTAGTAAGTTCCTTTTTAGGCTTGCGTTTAAAAGACTTAAAAAATTTCTTAAAGACGATTTTTTTAATCATGGAAGCCTTGGTAAAGTATTAGGGGAGCAGGGCGAATTGCACAACATATATTTCAAAACACTTATGTTGCATTCAGATTAATAACCTCAACGATGTGCACGTAGGGGAGTTCTAGTATGTGTTTTATAACCGATTATTGGAAGGTCTATAGACAGCTTCTCACTCCAGGCTTAAGGTGCAGCAGCAAAGACCAAATAACTGCATTTTAACGGAACTTAGAATTCTATAACCAACGTGTAAAGCAGAGTCCTATTTGAAAATTTGATTTACCGTAGCACTGCAGATGTTGACGCACAATTGTGCATGTTGCAGCGTCCCGAGTCTTCCTATAGGGTAGAAGAAGGCATAAATATGGTTGAATACATGTATTCCAAAGATGATAGGGTAAATGGAGTCTGAGCGTGGTCAGAAGGCCAGTTCACGTGTACAGGGACCAGACAAATTCCTAAGTGATTGTCAAATGCCAGGTAGTCACATTAACGAAGCATTACACATGTAATTCTTTGTTTATATGACTACCTCATTTTCAGTAGTGACTAGGATTTGTCTGGATTTGAGCTGGTCCTCCGGCCGTTCTCAGGCTCATTATCTTTGCCCTCTTTCGAACACATATGTCAAGCTTCATTTATTGCCTTCTTTCACCCGGTGGAAAGTCCTGGGACGCTACATTGTTGAAAGCAGAAAGCGAACCCGATTTATTTTCAGCATATTTTACCCTAGCATGTACCATTTGTTGCATGTACCTGCGGTGTGTAAGAGACGAATTTGCATCGGTGACGAAGGCTCTCTGAATCCCTCACAACGAAAGGATCGAGAATGACGTCTGCAATCCTCCTACACACCACAGTTATTCCATTATGCGGGACAGTGGCTCATCTCGTTTTTTTCTACAACATACCTTTTTCAGACCAGAGTTCCATCATCTAGTCCTGAAAGCAATTGATGGTTCACAGATGTATCCGCCCCGAATCTGGTTGTCAAACCGAATGTAACCTTAGATCCAGTTAAAGCTGCTGAGGAGATCAAGTACGGTTCCACATTCTCATGTTATTTGTCGGCTGGCGCGTTTGGCTCGTGGGTGCTTTCGTGTAGTATCAAACATGTTGCGATGGCTGGCGCGAGAGGTATATCATAAAAAGTGCCGGGGACGTCGCTCAAGAGAAGAGAGAGGCAGTGCAATAGCTTTTTTTAATGACTACCTCACGTTCAGCGGTCACTTAAAGGTTTGCCTGGCCATGGTACTCGTGGGCTGGCCTTCGGACCATGCTCAGATCCAGTCACACTGTCCTCTTTGGAATACATATTTTCGGCTTCAATTATTACTTTTTTCCAGTCAGTGGAAAGTCCGGGGACGCTATATAGCAGCGCGCGTTATGTGCTTACATTACTCTCACTGATGGGTGAGGAGCATTTAATTCCAACGTCGTGCTTGGAAAATCTATGTAGGAAACACCCTTTCCACAAGTGTCCGGTTTTCAAACCCCCTCTTAACCCCCCTAAGCTCCAATTACAGCATGAAAGGCCCGTTGCTTTAAGTTTGCCTTTATAGGATGGGATCGAAAACGGAATATAAACACGAGTCCAGTGCATGAGGAGTGTAATGATTCCTTTCCAGAGTGATATCTACTTTGCCTCATCCATCCTTTCCCATTTCCATACTTTTTGTACACGATGTCAAATAATGTTTCCGAAACTAACACGCTTTGAGGTTCTAGGACACAAAAATGCTCTGAAATCAATGAAATAACTGAACTTGCCATAAGGTTAGCAGCTAAATTCAAGCGATTGAAAAGGTATTGATTTAAGGACTGACCTAAGGTGTGTAGTAGGGCCGAACTTCTGCATTTTCTGCCTGAAACAAGCAGTCAAATGTATTAAGCTTAATAAAGTGGTAATATTCAGGCAGAAATGTTTGAGGAAATGCTGTGATCCGAACCGAAAACCAACCTACATGGCAATCGCAAAATGAGAGCCATAATGACCACCACTAAGATTTGTAGCTAAGTCAAAATATATCGAGGTAATGCTTTGTTTATGTGTCAACTTGATGTGTGGTGGTTACTGTAAATCTAGTCTTTCGATTGTAATTGCGGGTTGGTCTTTGGGCCGAGCTCAGTCCTAGCTGTTTACTTTGCTGAAATACATGTGTTCAGATTCACTTAATGTCCTATTCTACTCGAAGGGAATTCTTAAGACGCTACAATTACAGAATATACATACCAAGCACAGCAACCTCAAAAAAGAACTAATTAAAAGCTAGCCATCATCAGTGAAAAAGAATTCTGTAATGCTTTGTTTCTGTGACTATCTGACGTTTGACGGTCAGTTTGGGAAATGTTCGGTCCTCCTACTCCGGAACGCATGTGTCCAAAATCACTTCCTGCCTTGTTCCACTCTATGGGAAGTCTCAAGACGCTGCAGATTTAGTCATGGAATAATGTTTTTGTATTTTAATTATAAGTCTCATATTTTGGGAGGAAAATATAGGGTTTAGTAATACGCATGGCAATCCACTTGCATCAGGGCTTTTCGCCAGTTCACACTAAGAAAACATTTGATTTCCTTAAAATTCATTCTTGTTGGTTTACAAAATATTACCTCATTGAGCACAACATCCTTATATTCCTATGGGTCACTTAAAGACGATCTCTTGTCCTTGAACTGCTCTCGCGGCGAAAATAATTATTGTGGAACAGTTGCTGTCCAGCGGATGTGGCGATTTTGCTGGTGGTGTTCATTCTGAATTTTACTCTGAATACTGCATTAAACCCTTATTTTGCATCGCTGTCCTCAAATCCGTTGTATTTATGAAGAATCCTTTTTAAAGCAACTGTTCTGTATTAGCTGCAATTGTATGCAATCCCATCTTTGCTTATTATTAGCAACTACTTGACTGACTTGGTTCTCTTGCATGAAACCAGTTCAATTTTCGCTTTTACTGAAATTTTTTTCAATTTACTACTCTAATTTGCTTTTAGTTGGTCTTGAATTACTTTAGCTTCTATTCTATTGCTCGGATATCGGGTAGAGTGTGTTTAATGCACATGCTGCCAGCTTCAGCAATAAAGTCCTACCGTTACCAATCACATCAAACTTCCTGCTGATCAGATGAAAAATCGCACAATTCAATGCAAATGTTTTCCACCTGAGGATTGTAGGAACAGATCATCGAATTGCGCATCATTGATCGGTTGCTTTTACTCGGTCCATACAAATGCTCTAGGATACATAATCTACGAACGTTACGGTTGTCTCCTAAACGACACACTTTCCATCTTCTCCTGCTACAATTATCCAAGTACTAGTGTAATCTGCTGCTTTTCATCAAACTCTTCGGACTATTGTAATGCACGTCTCCCTACTGCCAAGCTCCAGAACAGCAGTATCCTGTATTTCCTGTTTTTTACCATACTATGGATTTTGCTCTTTATACTAGCCTTTGCATACTTCAAATCAAACTTCAATAGGCATAAGAAGTGCTTTTCAAGTCATTCCCAAACAATTTTCCCCGAAATCACTGATAGTGGTAGTGGGTCAGGAAAGCCTTTCTTAGTTAATCGAACCATTGCTCGTCAGACTACTCTCCTTTTATGCATTGGAAGGGGTCGATTCGGCGAAGTATGGCGAGCAGTATGCAATGACGAGACTATTGCCGTAAAAATTTTTTCCAGTCGTGATGGTGCTAGTTGGACCCGCGAAACTCAAATATACACGACTGCTCATCTATCTCACCCGAACATCCTTGCTTACTATGCTAGCGATATGATTTCACATGGCGGGTGTACTCAACTCTGGCTTGTTACCGCCTACCACGCTAACGGGTCGCTGCATGATTTCCTTTCAACAGCAAACGTTGTGACACCACAGTGCGGACTCAAATTAGCCCGATCGATCGCCGCTGGTCTAGCCTTTCTTCACAGCGAAGTGGTTGGATTCCATGGCAAACCGTCGATTGCGCATAGGGACATCAAATCTAAGAATATTCTTGTTATGGCTAACAATGAGGCCTGTTTGGCAGATTTTGGTCTTGCTTTGATGAAAAGTCCCAAAGGAGTGGGTGGAGGGCGAGTTAACGATGAGGCGAGAGAGAGTGCTGATGCTCCACCTCCCGCTAGCCCCTTCGCAGGAACAAAGCGGTACATGGCTCCTGAGATATTAGCTCTCTATCCCTTAGTGTGGGGTGGTTGGATGCGTGAGCGCCCGCAAGAAAGGCAGGAGTACGAAAATCAGTCTGCGGAGTGTGATGAAGACAAGCTGTCAATTCCAGGCGAATTGCTGGAGTGCCGACATCCGTTACTGCCTTTTGAGATCTATCTGTCTGCAGATATCTATTCACTAGGTCTCGTTTTATGGGAGATTTGGAGACGTTGCATGGATAAACAATATGAGGTGAGATTATTAACTTTCATCTGTGCATGGTCGTATTTCTTTAATATCGTGCACAGGTATACCTTAGTTTAGATTCGGGATTAGCCTTCACCAGCTTTGCAATGGTGCAAGAATAAGCTTAACACATCTTTTCAGCTCCTATTTTGTAGATTTGAGGCAGATTTTTGTAAGTTACATATGAGTGGTGCTCTCAAAACGTGATAAACAGACATTAATATCGGGTCCTTCTCTTTTCTTCACATAGCTTCCTTACTATGACTCCGTACCACCGGATCCAAACTTCTTGCAAATGTATAGAGTGGTTGTATTGGGAGAATCCTACGACTCTCCTTGCGACACTCTGGTAAATCTACCCCTGCCAATGCAGGTATGTCACCTGTGCAGACACATCCTGGTGGGTAGAGTTGGTGCAGCGCTGGAAAACCGTCATCATCGTCGACATGTTAATGGCAAACGACCGTCCCTCTCACTGGAGGAAAACGATAGCAGTGACAGGGTTTGGCTGATACGATGGGCGGGTGTCATTGCAGAATGCTGGCATCCTTGTTACACACACCGCCTCTCAGCCTTGCGTGTGCGCAAAACCCTCACGGCCATCGAGGCGATCTTGAGCTGAGACGCTTCTTTAAATACTTTTTATACTCGGAATCATGCCTTGTTCCTCGCTTTCAAACAAACTCGTTGAGATAAGCCACAAAGTGTATTTGTGCGTCCCTTTAGGTGCACCATTTTGATAATTTAGGGGTGCCACTAGCTTGCGGCTCGACAAATCTCATTGTAAAACGTAATGAAGAATCAAATCAAGGTATTTGCTAACGAGTTCTCCACGGCATACTGAACGTCTTCATGAGATTCTACCTTTTTATTACTGGAGGGGAAGCATAAAAAATTTAAGAGCACCTGGATGAGCAAAAGCAGATGTCGATACCACCGATTCCCGAACACCTAAAGGACGAAAAAAGGCGATGGGGATGTCGCGTTCCCATCAGCTCATGAGATTGATAGCGGCTTCATGTGGCACTTTAGCGAATGCTCACAAACCCATATGGCAAAATGAGCTACCTTAGGTTTCGCCACAATTGGAGCAGGTGTTCTTACCTACCCTCAGGGTATCATACAAAGCAAGACTAAGTGCGATACCAAGCCCTTCACGCGACCGTTGCACCACCCCTTAGCAGTCTTAACGAGGGATGCACCCTGACTGCAGAGGTGCAAATTGAGCGGAACGACCCTACCAACACAAATATGAAGCAATAGTCACGACAACTCACGAGCTATGATGAGAGAACTACTACCAGTGATAGCGAACCACCAACCCGAACTTCGAGGTTTTGATGGCGTACGTTGGGTGCAGGAGTCCACAAACAACTAGCAACTGACTTAAGTAACCTAGTTTCCATATACAAACTCATTTGTAAACAAAAAAAACCCAAAGTTAGTTTCAAAGCACGTGTTTATGGCTCGATAAAGCGATGGGAAATGCGTTTACTGGAGGCCAAGCGTGGAAAGCAATTCATTGTTTTCCTCCAGTTGAGTAACAATATCCACGCCGCCTACCAATTCACCGTGCGCATATAGTTGCGGATACGTAGGCCAATCAGAGTAGACTTTAAGTCCTAAAAAATAAATAGGCATTGTTAATATATAATTCAAAGAATTGGCACTAATGAAATCTTGCTTGACGTCCGAAAGTGAATCAAAACCACCTTCTCGAACTGCTTCATCACCGAGAACATTGAATGAGTCAAATTGGACATTGTGCTTGTGAAGAATTTCGAGCATTCTACGACTGAATCCACAACGTGCCTCTTCAGGAGTACCTTTCATGAATAGCATGATGGGAGCCCTGTTGATGAGGGCTTTGAGTCGAGCGTTTAAACTCTCTTGGACATAATTTTCACCACGTAGAGACGTAACCGTCCTCGTCAGTTCAGCAGCCTTTGCACCCTGAACACGTGCCACTGGTTTACCATCCTAAAAGCAAGCGACTCGACAAATGAGAATACTACCAATAAATATATCACGAAATAGTCTGAGACAAAAGAAAGGCCTTCACAAAAGTGACACAAGCTGTTAAGAATCAGATCCTGTACAATAATTCGTATACCTTGTAAAACAGGACCACAGGAACAGAAGACACCTCATTTTTCTTACAAAAATCTTGTACGTCCTCCGCGTTTACCTAAGTGTGAAATAAAGGACAGATGCCAACTCCAGCCAAAATAATCATTGAAGTGAAACGCAGCATTAAGTGAAGGTTAGAGATCGATTTACCATTCCAAATCGAACGGTTCTATTTTCACAATCTTCAGCAAGAGTTCGGAATACATCGGTTATTTGCTGGCATTCAGGGGCCCAGGGCGTAAACAAGTATAAAAGAGTAAGTTGCCTAAAGTAAATGTATCGTTAAAGGTGCGCACTTGCAGTCCCTTAGGAAGGTAGATACTTCTACTTCGGATTTCAGATCCAGCAACGGCATCCGAGAGATCCCTGTGGCAGAAGCACTACAAAGGCGGTCGAAACAGAAACCCAGTAGTCTACAACACACCTCTATTTTATTCCAATAATGTCACTGGATGAAAGCTTGGGTAAGTTGCTTATATAATTTTCATGAAAAAGTAAAGGTATTAATTTCGCAATGAAATAAATTTAAAAAGATGCGTTAATCAGTTGCCATTTCGAAAGACCATTTTGCTATTAGACCAACTGCATTTCCAGTGCAAAGGGGAGGCCAAATTCATAAGCATTGTGTGTCTGACGATCACTTCAATGTTCACTTTGCTTTTGCACTCTTGGACTGGCCTTCTGACCATTCCAAAAATCTACAGGGATTCTACCCAATGTCGTGCCTTCTACTCAGCGAAGTTGCAGAACTCTGCACTGACACCTCACACTCTGGAATAATGTGCTAAATTTGGTCGTGCTTCTACCAGCAATATCTGATCGATTGAGCAACTATATGGGAAACGTCCGTTTTGGCCCCAGCTCTTGGAAATCATTATGCCAATTAGATAGGTTATTTAGGCTCTCCAGGATTTCTCACTTAATAAATAAGCTCAAAAATATTTTTGCGACTTCATTAGTTTGGGAAATTATTTACTTGAAACTAGTCTGCAGATTATAAGTCCTTCCATATATATTGTTACCAACGCTGGAATACCTTGTTTTGATTTTTGTCCAATGGCATATACGTAATTCGTAGCCAATTGGAATAGCTGCCGATAAGAGTTTGCTGAGAGCTGTTGTGCTGCAATTTTTTCGTCGGTGCAAGGTAAATAGACTTCCATTACGTAATAATTGGTGTATTTTGGTGTCTGTGTTGTCGCAGCATTTGAGTCTATCTGTTTTTGTGGCATTTAAACTTCTTAAATTGGTGCCTTGGAATCAGACTACTGTAAGAATATCGGTGCTGGATTTATCTTAATAAATCTTAAAAACTCAACGACTCAACATATTGTGCTTCTTATGGCAGATTTGGTTTGGGGATTAGGCATATTTAAGATGCTCGACATTGTTCTTTTACAGTTCTCAAGCGAACTGAAGCTAGTGGTATCTTGCACCTAGTTTGTTGTGTCACTTCTATCATTTATGGTATTAACAACAACTTCAAGTGTGCGTGTCCACGGTCCTGAAATTTTCCTAATTATGTGTGTTCTGTAGGTGTCACTGAGAATATTTGTAGCAGTTGCTGATATTTGCTAAACTGAGATGTAACTTTTTGTAAATTGCTTGTATTCTAATTTGTAACGTAATTACTTTTACGTTCGCTTCCTTCAGTTAAGCCGCGTCCCCCATACATGTCTGATTACCGAAACTTGTACATAGCTAATGCGTGCGACCAATGCCCTCAAGTAGCTCCCTCAAACAGAAACGTAAAGCCGATGATGAAACTTATTTAGTAGACTCTATTATTGACGAACGCTATATAAGAAATCAGAAGTATTACAAAGTTCGTTGGCATGGATTTCCTCCGAGCGAAGATAGTTGGGAACCTGAAGCAAATTTAACACGCGTTCGTGAATTAATAAAACAGTTTCACCTTAAAAAGAAACCGCCATCTACTTCTCGTCAGCATCCTTCCACAAGGAAGAAATCTGAAACATCCAGTGAGGCACATACTTCAAAATTTGTCCAAGGCTCATCTTCCCCAAATAGGCGACGAATGACTAAATCCCGAGCAGGCCATTTTGAATACGTACTCCAAAGTGAGCTTGTGGCTACAAAAACGAAGTACTTTGATGATATTCGTGATGGCAAGATCGATTTAACTTCGAACGATTTATACTCACGAGTGAAGACTAGGAGGCGATGCCACAACGACACCCCTGGTCAAAATGAAGATGAATCCCTTAGTCGACCCTCCAGCCTCACAGAGCTAAATGAATGTAGAGGTACTCTTCAAACTACGCCCACAAGACACAGTGAACCTCCTACACCAAAAACTTTTGTACACTCTCTTGCTGGGTGTGCGGATGAACCCAAGTCTGTGATTTCCGACTCAGCTCCCGGTCGCTTATTCCAATCCCAACTGGATGATTCGGCTAAAAGCGTTCCTACCACTTCAAAGCAAAGTTCGCTTCTACTATCCGCTTCCCAACTCCACGTCAAGCGGCAGAATGCTCCTCCTGAAAATCATGGTAAACGAAACCCTTCTTTTGAAAGTTGTCTGCCTTCTGCACCCAAAATGGCTAAAGGCTCGACAGGAGATTCTTCGGTTAACCCTTTGGATGCGGATTCGTCTGACGTATCAACCGAAATTGGAATTCCATCGATTTCGAATAAATCCCTGCTAGAGAAAGATCTCGTCGTACGTACCATGACAATTACGTCGTCTAGTATTCGGGAGTCAGAAGAACAGGCGAGATTTAATCACTTTGGATCTTCTTATATATTGATTTATGATGACTAACTTTCTTCCTTATCTTAGGCCCAATTAGTAACAATGCCTATCCAGTCGCGCCCAACTGTACCGTCTTCGTCGGTACTCATGTCATTTTATTTGGACCTGACAAATCGTTCCATTCATTCAACAACGAATGGGAAAGATCTCCTGTCAGATTTTCCCATAGTTCGGCCAATTTCTGATAAGGTATCACTGAAATCGCAAGAGGACCTTCTATTTGCCATTAATAGCCATCACTGGAGTCTCCTTGCTACTCAGCCTATTGAAAAAATTCCACTTGGTCCAACCAGCCCCGTGAATACGGCATCGCAGCATCCTCTAGTTGCTGCTATAACTGCTGGTGAAGGCCGACCGTTTCTTCTTCGGCGGTTGCTTCAGAGCACCAATGACGCGAACTTCATTGACCCTGTCTCAAAATGGCCTCTTCTTATAATTGCTGTGTACTATGGCCGCATACAGGCTGCGCGAGTGCTTCTTGACCTAGGAGCTCAACCAAATGCTTCAATTCTCGTTGAGGATAAACCAAGAACCGCTTTGGGGATGGCAATTGTATCGGGGAATATTGATATGGTTTCTCTTCTCATTCTCAGCGGTGCAAATCCTTATCAGGTATGAAATAAACTGGATTGCCTTTTGAGGCATCTCATTTTTATGATTGTAGGTCAATGGTGACGCGAGTGCTATGCAACTCATTACCCAACTTCTCCAAGCCGTCACCCCAAAAACATCCTATGAAGCGACGGTGAAAGCTCCTTCGGGTTTTATACCTGATTCAAAAACAACCAGGTTACAACTTGAAGAACTACCAGAACCTTCTTCAATCCCAATCATTGAACCTCCAGAAAACACGATTCTTCCTCGTTCTCCTTACGACCTTCTTCCACCTCCATCTTCATTCACGTCGCCTTCCTCCACTTCTCTCCTGACATCATTCGAAGATCAAAACACATATTTACCGTCTGCTGATTCTCTTCAGTGTATTTTCAAGCTTATCAGTTCTTATCATGCACGTCTCTTTATTGCTGTTGACCGTGTTGTAAACCGGTGGCTGTTCAACGTGGGAATGACTGTTAGCTCAAGGCTGCTGCCAGGACAGTGGATTTACCTAGACGGTGACTCTTTCACGCTTAACTTCCCGACTCCTCAGATCCCAGTCTCGTCCAGTGAAACATCGGTCCTTGTACTTTTCCTTGTTCATGGGATTATAACTCCCCCGGGTTGTTACCACGTTTGGCTAGATGACGATGGGCCCTGCTTTGTGAAGCGAGTCTTTTTGAGCGGTGTGGAACAAAGACCTTTATCACGGGAGTTCTTCGTTTCCACATTGCTCCCAATTGATCATGAGAAAGAGAATCAGTGCATTTCTGTCCACTACTCAGATTGGGAGAAGGGTACATGCATAGTCCCCGTCGCACTTCGCCTTAAGTCAGCAACGGTTCAACGGTTCCAGACCAAAAGCGAGGACTCTCAACAGGTCGCGGAAATGCCCCGTCTGAGGTCCCTCCCGTCGACTTCCAGTTTGCGATCGAGACCGCATTAACCAACCAATACGTGATAATCAAACCATACGCACAATACTGCCACACTATTGTTAGCATTTCCTTTATTCTCAGGTCTTTCATTACCAACTAGGCTATTCCACTTCAAAGCGAACGTTCTTACCGATGTCCATCGTCGATCAGTTCTCTGTGATAGCTCTTACAAGTTACGCATCTCTCGCCCAATTTGACACTGCGACATTCTACTTTACGACACGTACGAATTAAATGGTCTTTTTTGCTTTGCTCCCAACCGCTATCTGCGTATTCTCTTATTCGTTTTATTTATCGTTTGTTAGTTTATTCTGGTTCTCATTATTCCTACCCTAGACATACTGCAAATTATAGTGCATTAGCACGCCCTGATCCACTTTGTGTTGATAATTCCAACTAAGCGGTTGCAGTATAAACCGTGATGTCTATACTTTCGAGACTTTACTTTCGGTTGCTCTGAATCGAGCTCCACTGGCCGTGTTCTTAGGATAGGACTTGTCAAACGCATTCATATCTTTGCTTTTGGGTTAAGAACGCAATTTACAAACCAGCAGCATGTTGGATTAGAATGAAGAAGGGCTAAATTGTAAACGAAGACCTCAACATGGAACAGGTGGTTTCATGCTAGCACATTTCAAAATTATGGCCGCAAATGGCTGATCTTCTGAGCTATTTAAAGAATGCTACTGCCGTGACCGTGATTCAATGATGTCATTTTAGTGTAATGAAGGCAAACGGCACGTTCGTAATCTGAAGACTGTTGGTAAATGGTTGAGAACTCTGAGGTCCTCACGAGGTTTAATAGGCCTAAATAAAAGTAAGGACTATCGAACCGGTTTAAACGAAATTCCCGTGTCTCCTGAGCCTTAATCACGGTTCGCAAACGACTGTTAACCGAGTTCAACTCCATTATCCGTCTAAATGCACTACAATTCGGTTTAACTTCAACTTAAGCAATGGAGATGGCATCCCTTGCTTAATTAAAGTTTTTATTCCAAAGTCATTGAATCACTGGTTATTAAAACCACAATAGGTTGCATAAAGTGACATTTTAGGACAAAATTTCGCTCGTGTAGAGTTAGCACTAAGGAGTATTTTCGACCTCGAATTATTGCAAGCATTTTACCAAGACCTAGAGTTTGCGAAGGAATTTAGTCCCTTCCTCTGACTGCTGTGCTCATCTACTTAAGTACTTCGCGTGTTAATATCTTCCTGAAGCTTAACATTGTCTTATGGTTTCGCATTAGTAACAAGCTATAAACAACGGCCTCCAAATTAATCACCTACTTATTGATATCAGTAGACTAATGGCGAGCGGTTAAAAAACTAAAAGTGGTTCCAAAAACCTATCGTTTCTTTAAGCCAACCTGATACATTGAGCACTGGTGTCAAAAGCCTCATTCAGGGTGAACTGACTTATCACGACACGGCCCAACTTGGTCGTTCTTTTTGCTTTTGATGCATGCTTAGTTGCAAAATTCAAAGATAAATTAAATTGACACCCTCAACATGATCTGGGTTCTACAAGGGTTGTAATAAGCAATTTTATGTAATGATGGGACTTTTCATAGTTCCCACTTTTGCATTAAGGAAAGCACAGAAGGTCATTTTTCAGATAAATTTTGGAAATACGTTGGGTCTGCCCTGAAAGTGTGCGCTATTAGATCCTTGTCTGGCTTAAGCTCCTCTGGATTTGGTTTACGTCACCAAATATCGAGGCTTAGTGATAATGAGTAGAGAATCCATGCCATACACTAATCTCCCACACATTTTAATGCTACTTTAAGTGAAATTTATGGTCATCTCATGAATAGGATCATCCGTTTCATACTCGTGTAAGTGAAGAATAGGCTGAACAACTCAAGATTTGACAAGTGAAAACTTAAGTTCTACACCCAACACATACCAAGAAACTTTGAATGACAGAAAGGAGGTTTTGTGATGCATAAGCGGCACTTTTAGATCTGTATTTGATTAAGTCAGCTCCTGACTTTGTGCGCGTTGGTTTCACCTCCTTAGTAGGGTTTCTTCTCTGCATCAGTACTGCCTTCTGACTTTGAAGACCTTTCAGAGCCACATTTATGAGCCTTTGTTAGCCCGAAGCCCCTTTAAAAAGAAATTCCTCTTCAGATACTGCATTAAACTTAATCGAGAACGTAGACCTATCACTTACTTAGTGGGACAATTGGTTTCATGGGATCCCAATTTTGTTGGCATTATGTAAACCTCCACAGTGTGACTTATTGTCGTGAAGGTGTAATTTTCTCCGTAATGTATGCTAGGAGGTTTTGTGGAAATCAAAGTACCTTTGACGTTTAGAGAGAATGCCCCTGCAATCTGCTACATAGTAGGCATTCCCTTTATCACTTAAAGTCACATCTGTTCCGGGGATATGGTTTCGCTTTAAAGACGATAAGAAATTATGTTTGATACTGACAGCAAGACAGACTCAAATTATATTTTGAAGGAAAGTGATCCAGTTGCAATGAAACAAAGGAAGCAGTGTTTACTGCATTTTAGCGCCTTGGAATTCATCCTACTGCGTTTGTATTTGTGCAGATTCAGGAGGACACAATGCTTCGCCATGTTAAGCTCTGGAAGCCAGGCCATAAGGCAAAGCCATAAGTAAGCCATTGTATGAATCATACTTCAACGAAGATCTTAGACCTTTTCATCGATCTGATTTTCAAGCAAAGCTTCAAAAATAAATAGAAGTTAATTAGGAAGCAGTAAATTTAAACTTGTATGGGATCATTCCAAAACAGGTTTCGATCTTGGAGGCATCAAACAACGGAAGTGAAGTATCAGGTTGTCGAAGGAAGTATCCCGTATTTTTATAAAAACGACTATTTAGCCACCGACCTCCAAAGTCTTCACCGAAGGATTTATTTTTACCAGAAACGTCTTCTGTAATAAAGCGGAAATCAGTCAGCTAGACTCAATGCCTAATATGGTAAATGTGTGGGTAGAGATCACCGCACTTCTCTCCTTATGGGCTCCTGCGTAATGCGAGGGGGTGCTCTCGCTCAAATCCGATTTGACAGACAAGTGTTTTGTTCTGTTTTGAGTCAGCCTTCATCAAGCCAATTAAGTGCTCATCGCTTCCGTATTTTTAAAGGAGGTTCCACTGGCTTGTGCGGCAGTTTACTTCTCAGCCTTGGAGCTGCAGGCATTTTAAAAAATGACCGCTCCTTGCTCAACCTCGCCCTTTAGCAATTTAGAAAGACATGGAAGTTTTTCGAAATATATCCTTGAAAGAGTCGACTCCTCCACCAGTTCTTCTTCATCCTCTTCCACATCGTCGTCTTCTCAGTCCCCCGCCTGTAAGGAAAAGACGTGGCTTGTTGTGGATTTTGGCAAAAAGGCTGAGAAAAGAGGAAAATCTGGTGATCGACATACTGGAAAAAAAGATTCCAGAAGTAGAAAACCGCATACTCAACATCAAACGTCTATAAGACCTGTTTATTGCTGTCACTGTACACCGTCGTCTCTAAACAAATTACCCTTATTGACATCTTCATCATCCTCATCCTCTTCTTCCTCCTCCTCATCTTCTTCCTCCTCTTCCTCCTCTTCTTCTTCTTCTTCTTCCTCCTCCTCATCATCATCTTCTTCCTCCCCTTCTTCATCCTCACGACCCATTAAACAAGAAGAGAAGAGCGGCGATACCTGTGGTTCTTTCATCATAATATCATGTGGCAGAAGCCGCCAAATGTCGAGATACTTGAACGCTAACAAATCAGCTTCTCTCTCCCCGCAAAGACAGCCTTCCCCTAGTGGGAAAGTCTGCAAAGGGCGAGCTCGAACACCCAACAGCCCGAACAGGCGCCTTTCATCTAGCCACCGAGATGGAAGCAGAGCTAGAAGTCAACGGAGATCTTCGTCACGAAGGCAAAGTGTCAGGCCCGCTAAATCCTCAAGACCAGCAAAATCCGGAAGAGGGGACACGTCGCCAACCATTTTTGAGTTAATACCGGATTGTGTGGATGAAAGGGCGGGGAAGCGACGTAGTTCATCCCAGAGTCCTAAGAGCAGGCATTCACAGGGTCGACCAAAGCAGAGGACAAGAAGTCATTCGACGTGTTACTTGGTGATGCCGGCAGAGTTAGAAAAAAAGATGGCAGGTACCTCGATTACTCTCGTGGAGTTCCATTCTACTCCCAAAAGTCGACAAAGCAAATCTAGAAACGGCAAAATATGAAATTCGTGTCGCCTCAGCCTTGGAAATGGGATCGCATCAAAGCACATGAGCAACAACAGTTTCAAAACTCTCAAACTTTTTCAATACCGCTTTCTACTCTTTAAAAAAATTATTTGATAATTTCATTCAAATTCCTGCGGTTTATCATCCTCTAAAATTTTCCTACCCCTTCAATAGATTAACTCTTTAGTAAATAAACTGTTGAAAATCATTTTTTCTTTTTGTGTTGTATCTTTCGCCCGATCAAGAAGAGCTAACTTAAACAAATTTAAATGCTTTAGAACACTGCAAGACCATCATGACCTAACAATATCCACTTTGTAAGGAAACCAAATGGACTCTGCATAAAGCGAATAGCCGAACCTGACGTTCAGGTGTAAAATTGTAGAGCAAAACAAGTCTAGCGGTAACAGTTAAAGGCGATCATCGTGTGTCTATTCGACTAAGGCGACTGTTTGTAGAAAATAAATAAATGCATTTTACTACTGAAGTGGTTCTCGAAGTTATTAATTTCGGAAAAATCTATCGTACATCACCTTAAGTAGGGCAAAACACTGTAAAGCCTGGACATTGTTTACTGGTACGGCTATTGCATAGCTCTTACACAGACAAATTTGCTGAGTGCGTTGGCGGTTGGGTCAACCTTAACCCGACACATCCCATGTGGTAGAAGAAGGCAGTAAGTAGAGTTGAACAATATAATCTTGAAGACGGGAGAGGGATTGAGATATAGCTCGGGCTGAAAGTAGGCCCTTGCAAACAAGGACAAAACAATCACAAAGCGCCAACAAATCGAACAGGTAGTCAAATAACCGAGATATTACAATGTCCCTCTATTCCTTTTAGCGTCGGTACACCTCCTGTGAATGCGAGTCAGCCACGCCAGCTAGTAGCTCCTATGAGATTGAGGTAATGTACTTGGTGTTCTCAACTGTTTCAACTGAATGTGCATTTGTGTCCGGTCTGAAAACGGAAGCCAGGACACGCATTTCTACCGATCAACGATTGTGCTCGCAGAGGGGGACATCCGATGTTGGTCTTAAAACAGGTGCGTAACCGAGGAAACTGGATCAAACGCGGTCCCATGTGGAATCGAGCTCGACGCAATGCCACCGTCCATATTCATACGCGAAACGATGCTTTTCAGTTCTCAGCCCTTTTCCTGTGGAGAAATTGGTGGTCCGCCCGCTCTAGTAATGCACCTCATCATTCACATCAGAGAACTTTGTCTCAAACGGAGAAAGTAATAATTTAAATTATAATATGGTCGGATTGGCTTTCTGATACTGTCAGTGTAACACTCTGAGGCTTCTCATTTGGCAAGAGAAGGCATTAAGTAGATTTAGACACGTGTATTTAAGGGTAAGTGGGAGAGGTTGGGCTTTGGCTTGGCCTGAAGACCAGTCTATACCAAACGAGCAAGATAACTGCCAAAGTGACTGCCATTCATACAGGTATTCAAATAAGCAAGGTATTGCAGCTATATTACCGATTTTTGCATTGTCATTTTCTCGTGGGTAGAGAAGAGGATTGAAATTTCTTTCACCAAAGGAGAGGAGCAGCTAGACTTAAGTGCTAGTAGTAATCACGATTTTGTCTTCGCGCAGACAAACTTACAAATTGGCTTTAAGCATGCATCCATTTGTTTAAGGCGTGTTACCTTCCTCATGTCAAGGCAAGGCACTGCCTTGAGGAGCGGCAACCGTTGGCATCGATTGTCGTGCAACGCAAAGTTTGTGTCACGCCTTGCTTATGTGCAGTAGTAGTGGAGTCACCAAAATTGTCAGCAGACATCTTTGGCATTTTATGCGTTGCTCCCCGATAGGAGTTGAATAGGCAGATTATTGAGGTGTGGCATTGAGCTTTTGAAGGTGCTACATAGATAGAGGCGTCCTGAACCTGTGCATCAATGACGTGGTTTTAACTAATGAACAAACGTTCCTCCTGCAATGAGGTTGGCCTCGCCTCAAACATAATTTACTCTGCTGCAAACTTCCAGCAAATTAGCTGTTGCTACACCGTTGAGACTTTTCAAAGTGGTGCAACGCTAGTTTACTTAACAGTGGTTGTCATTTATCATGAAAATTCCCAAGCACTGGAACTTGGTGTAAGTTTTAAAAATTCATGTGAAGTTATTCAAACAAGTGAAAGAGAGTGTCTGACGCAGTCTGGATGCTTTAATCGGCACTTGCGATTTTCGTTTGACTAATTTTGTCATCGATGTTTGCATCCAGATCATTTGAATTGGCATTGGCTTCGTGTTGAATAATTGTCGACTACTGAATGCGTTTTGCATTGTTAGCTTCTCTAAAAGATGTGTTTGTCTATACTGGGCAGAATAGCACTACTTCACTAATGCGTCTTCTCCGTTCACGCGCTTGAGTTTAGAAGCATGTGATTCAAGGAATCTCGAACCCAAACCAAGATGTTGACTTTCTACGGCCTTGATGGACTGGACCTTTGAGATCACAGTGTCATGTCTCGATTTTTGAAAGCAGTCTGAAAAGTAAAGCAGCTTTGAGTACAGTTGATGTGGGCGATTCTCACAGTTGCAAAAAAAATCGTTGCAGTTGCTCTCAAAGGTATTTTTACCACTACGATTTTAGTGGAGTGGTAGCTGAATGCCATGGGAAAAAGAAAAATATCCTTAGCAACAGTTGTGGATGCGAAAATTTGGTGATTCGTTTTAGAGTATGTTAAGAGAGGGTTTAAAAGGATAGTTGTGGTTCTGGCCTTACAAACTGTTTTCACAAATAAATCTCGTCCACAACCCTGCCTGAGCATAAATTTGAAATTGGTGGTCCTGATGACGACGTCGACTTCTCTAGGTTGCGCATATTGCATAAAATTAAGAATATAGACACTAATATAATGTTAAAGTAGCTTGAGATAGAAGTGATATAAGAGAGTAATAAGTTACAAACGAGTGATAATTAAAAATGCCGTAGCATTGAAAGCATTCCAGGCACGAGAAGTGGTGCGCTCGAGTGCGCCTCTCCACCCCATGACAGCTTCAAACGGGCGCCACCGTTTTCACGTGTGCGCATCCTCTAAACGCCGTTGAGAGGAGAAGAGCACACTTCAGCAAGGGAAGGCTAATATGATTTGTGAGCGAAAATTACTGCTCATCCGAGGTCATTTTGTAAAAGCACTGGAACACTATCCGGAGAAGGCAGTAGCAGTGGGCCGCCAATTGACTGCATTTGTCGTATCGCACCACTTCACTGTTAGATGGATAATACCACTCAAAGCAAATTGAAAATCGTTCAAAAGTGCTTCATTGCTAATTAAAAGATACCTCGGAGAGTTTGCAACTAGCTGCATTGCGTACATTCACACCAATTGTAGTAAAATACCGTTGGAATGTGCACTGCTTCATGCACCACCGACCACTTAGCCACAAAGATTTTTAAGTTTGAAAAACCTTTCAATCAGAGATGCATGCATACGCTGGCATGGTGTTTTAGCCAAAATGAGGATGTGATAGAAATCCTTGCTGGCATATCACTGTAACATCCTCATGGTGAGGAGAAGGAAAAAATAGGGATGTACAGTGGAACAAAATCGCCTAACGTGCCTTGCAAATGTGAAAGAAGTCGTTAGGCAGAAGCCTCATCGCAGCGCGATGGATTGATGGTGCAAAATCCGCCTTGCCTTAATGAATGCACATTTAATTGTCCCTAATTAGTACAATTCCTGAGAACATTTAGACAGAATTACTTAATATTTTATCACGAGAGCAGATGCCTGTGAAACCAGTACGTTATTACAGACCATTAGCATAAATGACACCATGAAGGCGCCAATTTCACTGGTGGCTTAAACTCTCAAGCGAAGTAAAGGGACTCGTGAGTAAATCGTCGCATTATTCTAGCGGAATCCACTTCTGCGAATGTGTGACCATCACACCCGTCGAAGAGCTGGATCGCATCAGCACTATTTCAGAAGCACCACCAAGGGCAAGGATGGAACATGTGTTTTAAGGAGTTCTGGAGACAGCTCATGCACCGATGACAGTAATTCAGAGTGGGAGGATAGTTCGCCTAAAGTGTCCTCACCTCGAGAATCTCGTCACCGGTACAGGCATGTAGGATGTGGAAACTGCACCAGCTACATTAGGTTCTGCTCCGAAGGTCCGTGTGGCGCATGTTGTGGAAAAACGTCGGGTAAAAAGTCCCAAAATCGACATGAAAGCACTCTTCTTCTACACATTCCTCAGTCTGGCAGTGTTAAGATGGTAACGTCGGACAATATGAAGGCAGTAATTTTGCCCTCGGGAGCCATCTGTGCCCACCGAGTGCATCCTCCTACTGAATCATCAAGGTGTGCAAAGCACCATGGAAAACATGGCCAACACAAGAGACAACACTAACAAGGAACTATTCAAGTGGTATTATCCAATCTTTCCTGTGCTAAAATAAAGATTCTGAAGGTTTTTAGAATATCCTTCTTATTGAGTTGCTTTTGGAGCAAATGGGGAATAGAGCGAGTTTTTTAGGTCGCCATTAATACCTTTTTATAAAGCGGGATCTATTGCTACATTTTATTGCTTCACCTGAAAATAAGGTAAACAGTGAGTGCGTATCTGCGAAAATTGTTGGCTTATGGAGCGTAGCTGGCAAAATAGAAGGCACAGTTTTGGTATTTTCTCCGCCCTCAACATCCTTTTCAGTAGCTCGATGAGGCGATTTAGTAACCAAAAGGAAAACGAAGGGGAGAAGGATTAAGCAAAATCCCCTACTTAGTCATCATTAAAACGCATTTGGGTTTGGTAACGCAAAGCATCCAGCACGACCGTCTCAACTTCCTAGGCACGGTATTGCAGATGGGTAACAGATTGTGCCTTGAGTTCTAGAAGATAGAGTTTGGTATGTTAAGGACTGCCTTTTAAAACAAGAAACTAAAAAGCTATCGGTAAATGCTCTGATCTTCAGCTCCTCAAGACGGATCCG